TCAATGACAACCGAATCATCTTTGATATTAAACTAGTCTCATCAATCAAATCCACATTTTTAAATAACTGGCTCATCTTGTTATCTTTGGAAACACTTTCTCATACATGCATAGCTCAAAAATTCTTTAGGGGACTCTCCAGAGCAGTGTAAACATAAACGTCAATTGCACAGCTCCATTCCGCTTGGTTTATAATATTTTGAACCTTGTAGAAATATTCCACTTGTATAAGCCATAGCTAGTCAAACCTCAAAACAGAAGTGTAAATTTAGCTCCTTACTGACCTGCAAAACCAAAACTCAAATTCCAGGTATAATTAAATAAAATAAAATAAAATTCTCTGAAGCATATATCGAACATATGGTAGTAGGGCCATATTGGATAAAAGAATACAGGAGACTAAAACGTAAAACTTGCCTTAAACTCCTTGATGCAAAAATCACAATTACAGAACCCGGCAACATTCTCTATTTTTGTTCAAAGGCCTTTTTTAACGTCGGCCGAAGCTTAGGTGAAGCAAACGGTCCACTTCATTTAAAAACTTTGGGTTAAATAGACTTTGTGAGTGTTCTGGAGCTGGGCGTAGGCCCATTAGTATATATATAGAGAATGGGTTAAGTTTTGCAGAGAAGGGTAAAACGTTTTTCTTCATTTGTTAATTGATGAGGTTGGAAACAAATGTAGATTTCTGTTTGTTGATGCTTAAAGCGGGTTCAGGAACATTACGGGTCCATTGGTTTGTGATTTTAGATAAGATTTTGGAAACTATTAGGTAGTTGAATAGGGTGAGTATTACGAGGTAAAATTTAAAATAACAAAAACCTCGTAGGTTTGCTAATTTAATTAAACACCCTATAATAAAATTTTATAAAATGACAAAAAACACCCCCCACCACACAGTGCCAGATTCGGCCACCACGTCGGAATTGGTCTAAAAATGGCGTTACGAGCAGACGATCGGATCTGGTAGGTTGTGCGGCGATATGACATTTTTCGGTAGAAATACCAGATCTGGCTGTCGACCACCTAAAAGGCCAGATCAACGAATAAACAGCCAATTCCGATCGTTTCTACGTCGTTGTGACAGATTTCGGCAACCACCGACGATGGCTGCCGAATCTGGAAACTATGGGTGGGGGGGTGTTTTTGTTAATTTTAAACTTTTTTCTAAGGGTGTTTAATTAAATTAATAACTTAAAGAGTCTAAAAGTAATTAAAAACATATAATATATTTCTCAAATAAAAACAAACAGTTATTTTGGGAATATGATAGAGAATATGTATGAAATAATAAAAAAAGGAATCCTAGGCTCCGTTTGGTTCAAAATTGGGGGTTTTGGGAAAGTTTTTTGAAAAAAAGTTAAAAAAAAGTTGATGGGGGGTATACGATGTAGAATTTATAAATTAAAAAATACCCTTATGTGTTTTTTACAAATACCCCCTTAATAAAACATTAAAGTTAACAAAAATACCCCTAACCCACCTCAAACACCCCTAGCCGCGACCACCATCGGAGGTGGCCGGAGTCGCCTGATGGGGGCATGACCGGTTGGATCTGCGATATGCGTCGTATGGCCTTTTCGGCCAGATCCACGGTGGATCTGGCCGTATTTGCTCTCAACAACGGCACACAAACGGTCGTCGTTGATGGTCAACGACGACCGTTTGTTGGTCATCGTGACCGAGTGTTACGGCCAAAGATCTGGCCGTCAACGGCCAGATCTTTGGCCTTAGATCTGGCCTTTTCGGCCAGATCGCCATCCTACCAGATTCGGCCATTTTCCGGTAGTGGTGGCCGGAATCTGGTAAATGTGGATTATGGGGTGTTTTTGTAATTTTAAAAAAATATTTAGGGGTATTTAATAAATTAACAAATTTAGAGGGTTTAAAAAAATTAAATAAATTGAAATAGTATCCCAAAAATGAGAATTTTAGGTATTTTACTGTTTAACTTTTGGGAATACCAAGAGTAGTATTCCAACTGAACCCAACGGAGCCTAATATTGTACATTTCATTAACTTTCTCCCAATATAGTGTGCCATGGAGGTTACATACAACTCAATAAGAAAGATTTTTAACACTTTGGGTTGCTAATAAAGATAGTTACTGGAATTTTTATCCAACCAAGAATTTTAAAGTCTCGAAATATTAGTTGAGGTGCACGTAAGTTAGCCTGACACCAAAAAGAATAAATAAAAGTTGAATATTTCAGCACCCCACCCCTTGGAGATCTGCTTCTACCATCGCTGCAATCAGCTATCATAAAGAATAAATTCAGACTTCAGTTCAGCATCAGCCATGTGATTCTAATATCAGAATTTTGATTTTTAAATCTATCATTTATGTGTAAAACAATTTAATTGGAAGTGTAACCTTAGTTGCATTACTGAACCAGCAGAATCAAAATCCATATAAAAACTTTCTGTTGAGCATTATATCGAACACATTGCGTCTGCATATTATAGTATAAATACTAATTAACAAACAAACATACTATGTGAATAATTTAGGGTTCGTTTGTTTTATTATTTTGGATATGATTTTGAGAATAATATTGGGTAGTTGAATAGGGGAGTATTACGAGGTAAAATTTAAAAATTTACACAAAAACCCCCTAGGTTTGTTAATTTAACTAAACACGCCAATACATAAAAATTTTGTAAAATAACAAAAACACCTCCACCACCCACAGTGCCAGATTCCGGCCACCACCATCGAAATCTGACTGAAAAATGGCGTTACGACCCAGACCAGTCGGATCTGGTGAGTAAGGCGTCGATATGGTCTTTTCCGGTCAGATCCACCACGGATCTAGCCATCGACGGTCGTAAAAGTCCAAATCTAGCCGTCAACGACGACCAAAGATATGACCATCATTGTTGGTCAACGATGGCCAAGATTTGGCTGTCGTTGACCGTCAATGACGGCTAGATCGGTGAATTACTAGCCAGTTCCAATCGTTTGTAGGCGGTTGTGACAGATTTTGGCTATCACCGACGGTGGTTGTCAGAATCTGGCAAGTATGGGTGGGTGGGGGTGTTTTTGTTAATTTTTAAACTTTTTTTCTAGGGCTATTTAATGAAATTAATAAACTTAAGGGGTCTACAAATAATTAAAAAAATATACTAATATTTCTCAAATAACAAAACAAATAAGTATTTTAAAAATAAGATTGGAAATATGGGTAGAAATAATAAAACAAACAGAGCCTTAATCATATGGGATCCAAAATACGAGCACCTAAACTCTTAAAACTAACCTTCAATTTCTTGATGCAAACGCCATTTTTTGTTTTTTGTTTTTTTTGTCTTTTTGTCTTTTTGTTTTGAATCATGATGAACCAAACTTCCACTTTATTTGAAATTTGGACTAAATTGTGGACCTTCCCAAGCTGGACTTCGGCTCAAATAGGGTTAGTGTCAATTGGGTTAGGGTTAGGTTTTTCAAAGAAATCTCCATGAACCAACTAAGAATTGATAAAAGGTGAAAAATCTAGTTGTAAGTATATGTATATCCCGGCTATAATTATATAACACCAAATTTAGATTTAAATAAAAGGCAGAATGTTAAGATGATATAATACGACAAGTAATGATGTTCCCTGAAAAATTAAAAGATGCATGCATGCTTGGTTTTATTAAGATAAAAAAGGGAATTACTTTGACGATATTTGAACATGGTGCTTGGTGGTATATAAAGTTTACAAAAGGAAAAAACTTTAAAAAAGGAAATATTAGAGAGAAAAAAGTTGTCTTGTTTTTCTTAGCATTTGACTATCACAGTTGTTGTTGATTAAATATATTTCAACTCTTAACACTGAATTTCTTCAGTTTCAGATCAGTAGTATAGCTAGTTTCGATGGTGTTTTCTGGGACCCAATTCCGCCATTTAAATTCACCATTAAAGATCCTCATGTTCTTCTTTCTTCAGCATCGATCCTCTCCATCTATTGTCTTGTCTTGTCTTTGTTGTAATTACTTATCTTAATCATCTATCAATAACCTCCTCATCATCATCATCATCTCTCCAATTAGAAACTACAACAAGAACTATTAATTATAAAATATAAATAGAAAAAACATGATTAAATGAGATGTACTTGGCTTCACTAACATCAAAAAAAGTAAAGCAAAAACGTAACATAAAGCTTAAGCTTTAAAGTGAAACAAAGAATCTTGCTAAAAGCTAAGTAATGGAGTGTAGTAGCAGACACTAATGAATGTGTGGTTACTTTTTGACCAATCAATAAAATATTTTTCGCTGTTATATAAACCCAAAGAGGTCAATGAGGGAACCCATGAAAGTTTGTTTTTAGCTTAAAAAGCTTTGGAATCCTATGTGAATTTTCTTACTTTTCTTACTTTTCTTTTTTTCTTTTTAAACAGACTCTCCCATTTAACTTCATTTTCCCTCATTCAAACTTAACCCCATCCGTTAATCATAATAAGATCATTTTTCATTACAGAATTAAGGACATGCTATGCATATGCATGTAAACTGTCAAATAATGTATCAGATCCAGGGGGTTTACATTACATAGAGCTTATCAGCAAAACATTCAGTTCTCCAGTAAAATATACAGATATAGTTGATGAGAGATCGATGCATCTGATTCTCATGTTAAACATAATTAATTCTCATCTTTAATATGTAGATATGATTCTTATTAATTTAAGTAGGGTATTGTTTCATGTCTGTAGCCAGAAGGTTAGATTAATACTCCAAAGATAGGGTTTGAATATCATTATCTCTGTCTTTTATCTTGCATTGGTATGAACAAAAGATCCCATAGTGGTCCATCTATATAACCCCTTTAAATTGCTTTGCAGAGACGAGCAATATGCTAATTGTTTACAGTTATAAGTCAAATATTCCTTGGACCACTTGTAGTTCATCAAAAAAATAAAGCAGTCTTGAACTATCGATAATTTTAACACATTCACAAAGATATATATAATTAAAGAGATCTAGAGAGAGAGAGAGAGAAGAAACATGAGCAACCATTTTTAAAGTAGCTTCAAATTAAACCATCACAAAAAAAAGACACTGATAGATATCAGATTGATAATACAGAACTACATGCGTATACTTGATATTAGAAACCTCACAAAATGCTAACAACTGAAGCCTTCATCCCTAGCTAGCAGAAGAAAACCCTTAAATCTCTAAAATTAAGAAATAAATAGATATGTAGATAGGGAGCAAAAAGGAGACTGAATTCTTCGATGCCATAGCCATTGTCTTAATTTCTTCATTCCATGTTGGACTGCAGTGGCTGAAAATTTGAAGTTAGTCAGTCTTTTACATGAAAGAAATTAATATTGTAAATTATTAAGGAAATATATATTAATTAATTAGAAAACCCTTACTCGAAAATTTAAGGACAATATGATTAATACGAAAACTTATTGCCAGAATCCCTAGGAGCATTGCATCTGAAACATTCCATACGACTAGCAAAGTTGTGTTCATTGCAACCAGACCTGTCCAATTCAATCAAGCTTATCAACAAGAATAGTATTTGAAATCACAGTGCATCGCATGCACGGACTCGTACACCATATAATATATCTATAAAGAGAGAGATGTGCAAATTTATGTTTGCACTAGACGTTTCCAAAAGGAAAAATGTAACGAGCAAATTAAATTAATGAACCTGGTACAAATCCAGTCCCCAGATTTCCATCCAGAGCGACTAGAGCTACCACTGGCGAAGCCAAAACTACTTCTCATTCGAGGCATGTCACCCTCAACTAATCCACCAGAGTCATCTTTGGAAGCGCCACACTTGAAGCAGCTGGAGCGGCTAGCGAAGTTATGGGCTCCGCAGTTGCCAACGGTGCAGTACCAGTCACCAGGCCTAACATCAGGACCAGTACTGAATCCAAAAGATGAGCTACTACCTCTCCCACCAAAACTTCCGTAATCACCAGGTCTTGGCTCTCCACACCGTTGGCATGAGTCCCTTCTTTGGAAGTTCAAGTGGTTGCATGACCTGCAATTCCAGTCTCCTGGCCTACTCATGATCTGATCATCAACTCACCCCACAAGACAAGAGAAAGTTATTAAATGAAATAAAAATAAATAAGTGCCGTAACATATAACATAATTGATAACTTTACATGCATAGAATTAGTTGCAGAAATATATAGGAAATGAAGAAGAGAAGAGGAAAAGCATGAAAATTAAAATAGATGTGGTGTGTAAGCTCTCACCTCAACCAAACAGAGTTGAAAAGGAGTGTTTAGGAAGAGAACAAGAGAGATTTGTGATTTTGGATTGGGGGTTAAGGTGGTTTATATACTTGTTATAAGACCTCGAGAATCGGAGCAGATTGAGGTTGCCAGAGGGAGGCTTACATTTTCTTTTTCATAGTCTTCACTTTCGCTCCTTGAACAATGGAATCACACAACACAACAAACTAAAATTTAAAGAAGAAATAAAAATTTTGAATTTGGATTTAAAAGATACTATTAAAGCCAATTACATTACACCCTCTTTTGAGGCTTCTAGTTCTAAAGGTGGCAACTGCTTAAACAATATGGCCACAACACAAATTGCATATCCAAGTTCCAAAAATGCCCACACAATAGCTTCTTGTATTGTAAAAGCACAACTTAATTAATTTGAAGAAAACTATATAGAATTCGATCCTCTGTCCATCAAATTTGAGATATTTCTAATAATCTCCTAAGGGAAATTAAGAATTATATATCATGGAAACCCTTAAAGGGTTGGTTTGACAGTCAAAAAAGTTTGTTCAATTCTTTGAGTTCTTACGTTCAAACTTTGAGGTCACTTATCACAATAACATTGTGGCTTACCTGATTATTTAAGCTTGTAGGATGTTTAAAAGATATCAAAGATTAGTTGAGGTACGCATAAACTGCTTCAATCACCCCGATTACCAAAAAGAAAGATTATATATCATAGAAGTATGACAATTTATATTCAGGCCCTCAATTTCTGTGTTGTCAACTGAATTAGGGTTCATGCTAATAGTAGAAGTATGGCCTAAATGTTTTCTTTATGAGTGGGGATAGGATGATGAGGAACAAAGTTCACTATATATGTCTCAAACAGACAAAATGAATATTCTTCAAAGCAGAACAAAATAGATAAATAAATAAATAAACCTTAGGGAAAAAGGACCCACGTCCCTTATTCTTATTTATATCTTAAGATATAACCAAGGACTTGTCATGTCTCCTCTCGCATTCCATACTTTGTAACTTTGAGATCCCACTTCCTCCACAGTCACTGTATGAGGGAAAATGGTGGTTACTTTTCAAATTTGAATATTCCTTCTATTTTTTCTTCGTACTTCAAACCCTAATTTTACAAAAAATAAGTCAAATGGGTTCTTATGAAACCCTAATTAATTAAATTTTCCAAGAGTTTGGACATCTTTTGCTAGACCATTAAATACCCTGATCGATCGTATGCTTGGTCATATATCTTCTGGTCATATATCTTCGTCAGTAAAAATCATTGGATTGCCTGTGTGTATATTATTATCTTAATTGGGGCCACTCGTGCATGTCAGATTTGGTAAATTTAGAGGGATATATTTGGTACTACTGAGCCTGAATCAACGTCGCGAAGGTTAAAGTAAAAGTTGTGCATGGCTATAATTTCAAGAAACGTTGTTTAAATATTTTATAGGAGTTAGATTGTTGAAATTAATATAGAATTGAATGAGACGAGACGAGAAAATTAATATATGATGATAATTATTTAAGAGAAGAGAATAAATATAGAGAGAGAGCTAGGGGAATTAAAGGAAATGGTAGAGTTTCGATAAAGATAGTCGAAGCTGATGATGGAAGAGGATCGAAGTCTTCGAGGTTCATCAAATTTTGACCATCTTTTTCTTTTCTTTTTCTCTTCACTACTGCAATGGCTTTTTCTCTGTCATTTTCTTTTTCCCCCTTCTCGTCCTCTTAATTGGTTTTTTTTTTTTTTTTTTTTTTTTCGAAATCTTGATCAATCTCTCTCTCTCTAGAGAGGAACAACTTGGAAAGACAGAAAAGAAAAAATAAATAAATAAAAATCCATAAGAGATCTCTACCAATTTCTTGGGCTGGTAAAGAAGCTGTAGCAACTGTGAAAAAGCAAAAGGAAAGGGGGACTGATTCGATTCTCTTATTGGGAAATCTCCATGCATACCATGACCAACCCAATACACCCTAACGTATACATATACACATCCCTTTCTCTTCTCTTTCAACTTTAAACTCTCTGGTTTACTCTCTTTTTCTCCTCTAACAATCTCAATATATCAAGACATGGTAACGCACCCTTGCATGAAGAAGTAAATATGTCTTTTGGATTTTTATACGTACGTGCTCTGAAAAATATATATATTTTTTATTTATATTTAATTTACAATTGTATTATTTATTGTTACTGTATTTGTTTACGTAATGCGTGCTAGCAGGTTGCATGCACGTGAGGTTGCGTAGATAATAGTTACCACATTAATGAATAATGTAAAGTTCTCCCTTTCTTTACTTTTTAGTTATCCAATACTTTCTCTTCTCATCGTGACTTCCCAAATGTCCTCCTCTCCTCTCTTTCTTATTCACCATTTTCACTCATTTTTTTACTTTCAATTCTACTATTATTGTATAAATTTAACAAAGAGCCCACTCTAGACCACCAAATTTACTGGAAGACGAGAATAACTAAATGGCTTAACTCTGTTGTCGAACCACACCATTCGATCAAAAACTCACCTTGTCTTCTCAACCTCTTAAATTTTATCCATATTCCCCATTTTTTCTCATTCTCTTGACTTTTCAACCCTAAAAAATAAATTTCACACTTCTCTTATCAATCTATACAACTTAATACGGGCTTATATGTCAACCATATTATCCAACTCTCTCTTTCTCTCTCTCTCTCTGTGTGTATATATATATATATATGTTTGCTAATATGAAGTTTAAAGGGGTATTTTTCTTCCAAACCCTTTTTGTCAATATTTTGTTATACAGGTATATATATAGATATTACAAGATAAAGACACCACAACATGTATATTTACCAATTGGATGATCCATTTCAGGAAGATGAGATTGAACTAGAAATAGAAATAATTACCCTACAAAATAGAATGATATAGCTGTAATGCTCCCCTAGATTAGATGCAAACTCATGATTAGACTCGAAGTCATGAACATGAATTACTCTGAGTTTACGTTGTACCGTCACTTTTAACTCTAACCCTAAGAGCAATGTCTTACTTACACTTAGTCATACTAGATAAAAAAACAAGGACATAATAGTTATTTTATATGAATTTTGTGTAATTTTTGTTTGGTTGTATAATTCGATTGATAACTCAGTTGAAGTAAAATATATTGAAACCCTAAAAACTAATTAAGAGATTAATTATATTGCATAATAATTCGCATACATCTTAAACAGTAGAAAATTAAAGACCACAAAAATATTTATATGAAGAATCCAAAATAAACCCTAAGCCAGTCTTCACCTTTGTCCACTCATTAATAAATTTATAACAAAACTAATTATTATTGCTGGGAATGGGACATTGCATGGTGATGGGTTAAGTTTCTGTCTGAGATTTGATGGGCTTCGGCCCATGGACCATAAGTCCAAAAAAGGCCTGACTAATTAAATTTCCGCTCGGATTTTGAATGCCCGCCCTCTTAGCCGCTACGTCTCTCTGCCACACGCATTTCACTGTAATAAAGATAAAAATTAATTAAAGAAAAAAAACAAATTAAGATTTTTTTTTTTCATCAGTTTCAACTCTCAGTTTTCAGAAGATTAGCAGCCAGTGGGCGAGAAGAAAATGCAGAGACTGACCTCAACGATTAGTGTCTCTTCTTCTCTTAGATTCTCCTGAGCCAACTGCCAAAACTACCACCGCCGCCTCTGCCTCTGCCTCCGCCTCCGCCTCCGGCGCCACCTTAGCTACTCCATCATCAGCTTCTCCAGTTCAAGTAACTACACATTACTTACAATTTAATTTTATTTGCTGGTCTTGTTTTATTTTTTTTATAGATTTTTACCAGCATTTGCAGTTTTTGTGGATCTCATTCTATTGTGACATTTTTGGTATGTTGTGTGTCAGATGGGTGGGAAATTTCGTTACTTAGTTGGCTTCGTTCTAGTATTAATTTAGGTTTTAAAAGTGTTTTCATTGCTTAATTGTGTTGGTGTGATTGGGCTTTTGTGGATGTATATTATCTAGATAGTTGTGAAAGTTTTTTTTTTTTATTGAGTAACCGGTGACACAATTTTGAAGTTAATTGATGTGGTAAATGCATAATATAGATTCATTTTCATTAAATTTTGTTGTTGCAATAAGATTAAAGTGGGTTTACTAGCTCTTTTACTGATGTTTATAGTTTACTAGGGCATGGCTTCAAAAAGGATAATCCCATTTACTTAATTTATTGGTGTAACTTGTATGTCTTAACTACATCTTTTGCAATTCTAGGTCTATGTTTCTTTCTTTGTTTATTGGTTTTTGCATATGCAGTGATTGATTGCTTATAATAACTGAAGGATACAAAGATTTTTGAGTTCATTTAATTTTTATCCATAATGCGTAGTCCATTGACAAATGAAGTCGCTTATTAAGTAAAACAAGTGTAGGAGTATCTACTGGAGTTAAATCCCTTTGCTTGTTTGGAACCTATACCAGACACTGAAGGTTTTTGATATTGTTTTCTTTAGTAGTTCTTAACCCATGCAGTTTTTTGTACAAGTCTGAGTATTGTGTTTCATTTACTTTGTGATCCACTAGGGGAAGTTAACTAATGGTGTTCCCTTATTATTTCAGGAATCTCCTTTCTCTAATTTCCTTAGCAACCTATCCCCTATAGGGCCTGTCAAAGCACCCCATGTATTACAAGGGTTCTTGGGACTTAATTCTCCTCCACTTGTATTCACTTCTCCACGCATAAATGCACTCCGAGAAACAAGTTTCTTTAAAAGGTTTGAGAAAACTTTAATTTCAGATTGTTTTCAAATTGATATCAACTGTAACTTGAACATTGGATGTGACACTTCATGTTTGTTATCAGGTCTCCGTGTCCTCAGTTGCCCAGTGCAGAAGTGCCCCAACATGATGATGGAGCCAGAAAGTCTGCTGATGGTCCTGGTGATCTGGAGAAATCAGATTTGTTATTGCATGGTGGGTTGACTGCCGTCACTCATAAAGACAGTGATATAAAGTACTCAGTGCAAGTACAACCCAGCAGCCCCGCAGGGTGTGTGGATGAATACTTGGCTGATCATGTGGAGGTTGATGGTGCAAACTCTACTTCTGTAGCTCAAAATTCGAAACAGTCTTCCAATGTGGTTCAGTTGTCACAAAGTGGTACAAGCGACTCAAAGAAGACCATGTTAAAATTTGATGACCAAACTTATATGAAGACGAAAGTGGTTGTACCTGAGGCTATGCCTGGGGAAACTGAACAAAACATTCAAGGAAAAACCACATTTGATTGTGAGCCAAACAAGATTAAAGATGAGAAAACATGTGGAGAATGGACATCTAATGAAGGCTCAAATATTGAGTCTAACTTGTCTTTGGACCATGCTTCCAGTAAGCAACAATACGAAGGCTCAAATGCTCAGGTACCCACTTATTTTGCATTCTCAATTTTAGTTAGGATGGAATCCATTATTTTGAATTCTTAATTTTAGTTAGGGGTCCATCTTGATGCATAGGAGAAAAAATATTATACTCATATTTTCCTTTTTACCTTGCAGAATGACGCGAGTGCCCATGGGGATGAATCTAATTGGCCCCCTCAATTGCTGCCTGGACAATTGCAGATTGTTCAGACATATGAGCATTCTGAAGAAAATGCCGGAGCAATCCCGCGTGCACTCGTTGATAGTACAACAAATAATCCTGAGGTATGAATAACCAATCTCAAATTTTTCTGATAAATTCTAATGTCATTTCTCTATAGCTAGTTTTGCAGATTTCTTTTATTTTTTATTTTTAAAACTTAGGAATAGTCTATTGTTGTATTTTGACGTTTTTCCTTGTGGATGGGATGCCTTTTTTACTCTAAGCTTTATATATGGCCCAACATAAAGTTGTATAGGGTGGAGGGAAGAACTTTTAGTCCGCTGTTGGGAAAAGTGGCAATTGTTCTTTATGTCAAATATTCCATGGTGAATTTCATCATTTCATAATTCTATGGAGAGATGCCTGTGCTAATTACCCTTGATGTTTATTTGTTTTTTGGTTCTAGAATTCATTAACTGCAATGCTTTTTTGGCATGGCATTTTTATCTGCTAGTTAGACAAAAATGTTCCCAAATTTTGATATATGGCAATAACATAACCTGAACCTTTTTTTATTTTTTGTTATCAAATCCTACTTTATATTCTTTGCTATAAAATAATTGCCACAGTCAATGTAGGCCAGTCAAAACCAACGTGGCATGAGTAGGCGTTGCCTTCAATTTGAAGAAGCTCAACCTAAAGCTATTGTGAAAAGCACAAATCCTTCGGATCAGGCAAATGATGTAACTGATTCAAGATCACCTGCTACCCCCCCAGAATCAGAGAGCTTGGACTCGTCTTACTTGGATTTAAGTGCAACTTTCAGCAAGAGGCAGCTGGTTAACTTGCCCCAACCAGTGACTCCCCTGTTTCCTCCTCGTCATACTGGAAAGTCTCCCTTAACTATTTCTAAGCCATCAGGCATTGGCCTGCATCTAAACAGCATTGTCAATGCTTTGCCTAAGGGTCATGCTGCAACAGTTGGTGTAAAATTAACTACTGCTGAATATGGGATGCTTGAAACTAAGACTTCAATTGCTGTGAGTTCTATGACTTCTGAATCATTTGACAACATGCCTTTGCATATTTTGCCTCCGATTGAACATCATGCAACTCCTCATGCTAAAAGAAAGTATAACTCAGAGCATACTGACAGTTTTGAGGAGTTCAATCAAACAAGCCCGAAAAAGAAAAGGCAAGTTTGTATGTGATCTTTCCTGATTCGATTCCATATTTTTGATACTTTTCCCGAGCACTCAAGTTTGTACAATTTCTTCAGGAAGAAACCATTAGGCACCATAGATGGTGAAGGTTGCAAACGTTGCAATTGTAAGAAGACGAAATGCTTGAAACTGTAAGTTATATTATTTTTTTTGTGTAAAAGTCACACTTCCATACCCCATATAATTCCCATATATGTTTCTTTTAAACCTTTGTTTTTTATTTTATTGTCAAACAGTTACTGTGATTGTTTTGCTGCTGGAATCTATTGTGCTGAACCTTGTGCCTGCCAAGGGTGCTTTAACAGACCAGAGTATGAAGATACTGTTCTTGAGACAAGGCAACAAATTGAATCCCGTAATCCACTAGCTTTTGCTCCCAAGGTTGTGCAGCATGCTACTGAATTTCCGGTAAGCCATGGGGCACTGAAACCTCCAAGTTCAATCTCTTAAGAATTTTTCTTCTTGATTCTCTTTTCTTTGGTTTGGCAATTTCGTAATGGTACACCCTCCACAGGATGATGGAAACCGAATGACACCAGCCTCAGCTAGGCACAAAAGAGGCTGCAATTGCAAAAAGTCAATGTGTCTGAAGAAATATTGTGAATGTTATCAGGTGAAACTTTTTCTCTGTGCCACATTTCATATAATTAATTTGTCTCTCAATTACTAGCTATATATTAAATAGGCTGATCTTCCATTTTTTGGTTTATTTTGAATAGGCTAATGTTGGCTGCTCAAGTGGATGTCGATGTGAGGGTTGTAAAAATGTCTATGGAAGGAAGGAAGGTGAGAAATCACGCTCGAACTTTTAGCTCTCAATTCTGTATGCCATCATGATGAATCATGTCATGTGTCGAATTAGTAATTGTCATCACAATGCAGGGAAAGAAGAATTAATGGTTTCCTAGTCACTTGCTAATCTCCATTGATAATATTTTGAACTGACATTTTAAGGGTTAAAGCTTTGCCTCGTAGGGCTCCTTTTCTCTATTGGTTAAGGGTTCATTTTTTTATTGCAATTTTGAAGCTGATATGTACTAGGTAACCTTTGGTTTTGAGTACTCAATTGAATCACGGTTTATTGTTACTATAAACCTTTGGTTTTGGGTACTCAATTGAATCACGGTTTATTGTTACTATAAAATATCACTCTTGTTTTGAATATTTGCATTTTTTCAATTTCTACATTCTATCTTCTTAACAATACAGCCCAAGATATATACACAGACTACAATTATATATATGCCCTTGACTACATATATACATAGTTTCTAACACTCTCCTTTAAGTTGGAGCATATATATCTATTATACCCAGCTTGTTACAAATATAAGTTATCCTTTTACCAACTAGAGACTTTGTAAAGATGTTAGTTAGTTGTTCCCCTGTTCTAACATGATTAGAAGTAATTAGCTTTTGTTCAAGTTTTTCTCGCACAAAATGACAATCCACTTCTATATGCTTAGTCCGCTCGTGAAAAACTGGATTGTTTGCTATATGTATGACTTTTTGGTTGTCACATCACAAGTCCATAATCCTTGGATCACCAAACTCAACTTCTCTAAGAAGATGTCTTGTCCATATAAGCACACAAGTTATTTGTGTCATAGCTTGATACTCATACTCTGTACTTGATCTAGCTACAATTGGTTGTTTTTTACTTTTCCAATAAATAAGATTTTCTCCAACAAAAACACAAAACTTAGTCACAGACCGTCTATCCACAAAAGATCCTGCCCAATCTATATTTGAAAATCCTTCTACCTTATTATGACCATGATTACTATAAAGAATCCCACGTCTAGTGGCTCTTTTTAGATACTTCAAAATATGGTGGATCGCATCCCAATGAGATGTCCTAGGAGATGACCTAAATTGACTCACCACACTCACTAGAAAAGCAATATTTGGACGGGTTATTGTAAGATAGTTCAACTTTTCAACTATCCGTCTATATTTCTCTGGATCACCAAACATCTCTCCATCCTTAGCACTCAATCTCACATTAGGAACCATATGTGTGTCACAAGGCTTAGCCTTAATTAGGCTTATTTTGGTCAACAAATCTAACACATATTTGCGTTGAGAGAGGAAAATCCTTTTCTTACTCTGAGAAACCTGGACTCCCAAAAAATACTTTAGAGTGCCCAAATCTTTTGTGTGAAATTTGGAAGCCAAAAAGTTTTTCAAACTTTGAATGCCAACATCATCACTGTTAGTGATTACAATGTTATCAACATAAACAACCAAAAGAATGATGCCATAACTAGATTGTTTATAAACGACAGAATGATCACAAGCATTCCTATGTAAACCAAACTGAGTCACCACTTCGTTGAACCTCTCAAACCAAGCCCATGGAGATTGTTTTAACCCATATAAAAATTTCCTTAGTTTGCATACCTTTCCTGACTCCTCCTGAGCAACAAACCTCAGAGGTTGCTCTATGTAAACCTTTTCAAGAAGATCACCATGTAAAAAGACATTTTTTATGTCAAGTTGGTGAAGAGGCCAACTATATAAAGCTGCAAGTGAGATGAATAGCCGGACAGAGGTCATTTTAGCGACTGGGAAGAATGTCTCAGAGTAATCAATACCATACGTCTAGGCATAACCCTTAGCAACCAACCGAGCCACAGACCCATCGGGATTAGACCTTCACTATGAAAACCCATTTGCACCCAATGACCTTTTTATTTTTGGGTAAGTCCATTAGAACCCATGTATCATTATGTTTTAGAGCCAACATCTCTTCTTCTATAGCTCTTTGCCACCCATCATGAGTAATTGCTTGAGGCACAGAGTTAGGAACAGACACAGAATCTAAAGAGGCAATAAAAGGCTTGAAAGACGAAGACAAAGAGTGATAGGAAACAAATGAAGAGATAGGATAGGTATGAGAGCGCTTACCTTTACGAAGAGCAATAGGAAGATCTAGGTAAGAAGCAAGAGGAACTGGATTTGAGGGCGAGGTAGTTGATAGAGGCAATGGATCATATGTTGATGCAAGTGCCTCATGGTGCTGGTGAATCTTGTGAGAGTATACCTGGGTGATAGGAGGACAAGATGGTAGAGGACCATAATAGGTAATGTTGTAAACAAGAAAATCATCAGGGGGGCTTCAAGAGAAGTAGATGGAATGAAGGACTCAATATATAGAATGGTTTCAAAAAAGGAAACATCAGCTAAGACAAGGTACTTACCTAGGATAGGAGAAGCAATGATAACCCTTCTGATATCGGGAATAACCCAAGAATATACACTTAGGGATCTAGATTCTAATTTGGAGACATGGGGTCTAACATCTTGAACAAAGCATGTGCACCCAAACACTTTAGGAGGAAGGGAGAATAAAGGTTGAGATGGAAAAAGGATGGAGTACGGGATTTGACCACCCAAAACAGAGAAAGGGATGCGATTGATCAAGTGACATGCAGTAGAGATAGCATTTGCCCAAAACTCTGTAGAGACTTTCATGTGAAAGAGGAGAGTACGAGCGACTTCTAATAAATGATAATTTTTTCATTCAACAATCCCATTTTGCTGAGGTGTATATACACATGATGATTGATGAATAATACCTTTAGTAGACAAAAAGGTGGAGAAAGGTGCAGAAAAGTATTTTTTGGTATTATCACTTCTAAAAATTTTAATAGATGAAGTAAATTGATTTTGTATTTCAGCATAAAAGGTACAAAATATGGAGAATAATTCAGAACGATTTTTCATAAAGTATAACCAAGTCACACATGAAAAATCATCCACAAAAGTAACAAAGTATCGATAACTAAACTTAGACAATATAGGGCAAAGACCCCAAACATCAGAGTGTATAACATCAAAAGGGGTTGACTCTTTTGTTTATCCCAGGGCTATACCTTACACTAGGACATAACTTTTTCAAAATAAGAAGGAGGGATGACCAAGGCGACCATGTAATATGGATAGAGATAAATCACTAGTACACATAACAGGTTAAGGAACTGGAGTGGAGACATCATCGAGCATATACATGCCACCTGATACACAACCCCTACCAATAATTTGCCTCGTCTCAAGATCCTAAAATATACAATGAGTAGGAAAAAAATAAACACCATAGTTGAATGCATTAGTATTTTGACTAACAAATAATTGGTTAAAGGGAAAGTGAGGAAGACATAAAACAGAGAAGAGAGACATAGATTTGGTGAGATTAGCGGTACCACATCCAATAATAGGTGCAGTAGATCCGTTAGCTAAGGTAACAGAAGACAAATTGGAAGAAGGTGTAAATGAGAAGAGAATACTTGTATCGCTCGTCATATGGTGAGTAGCATCAGAATCAATGACCCAGTTACTACTAAAAGTGGATAAACAGGCTGTAGGATTACCTAACTAGGTTAATGTAATGGTAGTCAATGGGATGGGTGACTGAGAGCTAGAATTCTGAGTGAGGCGAGCATATTTAGTTGTAGAGATAATAACCTGTGATGGGGTGGGTAAGAGATCATCTTGAGTTGCAACATGAGCAAACTTCCGAGTGCCTTGCATATTTGAAGGCCTGCCATGGAGTTTCCAACAATTCTTTTTTACGTGGCCCTCAGCACCACAGTGAAAGCTAGTACGAGGGCCATTACCACAATTGCTCCCAGTATCATGACTTGCCCTTTTGTTGCCTTGCCATCACTATGTTTCATGCTAGCTAGGGCCACATGATCTACATTAGGATCTTTAAGGGTTTTTTTGTCTTTAGAAACTCCTCGATCTTTCCCTTTACTAACTCTGAGAAGTCGAGCAAAGACATCCATAAGAGAGGGAAGTGTCTCGCCGATAAAAAGTTGTGTATGAGTTATCTCATATTTCGGCCTCAACCCAACCAGAAAACATTGCACTACCACTTGTTCTTCTTTTGCTTGCATCATCTTCACATCATTAGGGACAAGAAATATAGCCTTTTTTTCTTCCAAGGCTTGTTTTATCTCTGTATAATATTCGAGCAACGTCTTCTCTTGCATATTTGCTCTGTAGATCTTCAATAACAATTCATGAGCATGAGACAAGTCTTGTTTACTAGCATACTGTCAAAGAGTTATTGTCGGAGGAAGCAGATGATGGGACTAGTCACTGTAATTGTAGTGTGTGTATATAATAGAACTCAGAGGAATCAGAGGGATTGCGTCGCTAGAAAATCGAGATGAACAGAGAGGAACCAGAGGAGAGATCACCAGAATGAGCAAAAGAATGGGACAAGTTAATTGGAACAGAACCAGCATTTGTCGGAAAGGGAGAGGTTGAGAGCAGAAGTCGCCTGAAAGAGAGAAACCAAGAGTAGACGTCGTCGGAGATTACAAAGGAGGCCAAGGGTTTGTCGGAAAGATTCAGATGTTGCCGAAAAGAGAGAAACCATGGACAGAAGGTTCGTCAGAATCGTCGACCGCCGGAAAACAGAAACGCAGAAATGGGTTCTAGGGTTTAGTCCTGCTCTGATACCATGTTTTGAATATTTGCATTTTTTCAATTTCTATATTCTATCTTCTCAACAGTACAGCCTAACATATATACCCTTGACTACGTATATACATAGTTTCCAACAACTCTCAGCATCCTTGCATGAAAATAAAAATGAAAAATCAGTCACTCTTAACAACTGAACGATGCACATCTATGTCATCTTTATTCTTGTTATACAGATTATGTTGAAAATGAAGAAATGGTGAGCAACAGGTTAAGCAAAGACAGATCAGAAGGAACATTTGAGGACAGGCTAGAAACAATAACAAACAAGAATGATTTCTTACATTCTGAGTTGTATGATTCCCGCAACCTGACGCCATTGACCCCGTCATTCGATTGCTCAGAGTAAGGTTTCTTTGATCATAATTTTTTTTTTTTTTTTTATTTATTAAATTTTGGCTGGAAGGTTGAGATAATTAAATTCAACTTGAACAAAGCTGATAAAATCCTTGTACTTTATTTAGCCATGGAAAGGATGCACCAAAATCTCGAATTCTCTTTGGAAAATGCATTCCATCACCCGAGTCTGATCTTACCATATTGTCATCTTATACAAGAACACTGAGATCTCTGGAAAAATCAGATTTTAATGACATGCTTCTTGAAACAAGTAAAGAAGTACTGGATGTAGGTGCTTGTGGTCAGAGAATGGATTACAACAGCACAGACATGACAGACCAGTTCTCTTCAAGATGTGACACGCTAGCTGATTTTCGCAATCTCACTCCGCTGGATTTTCCTTCAACAGCCATGGCCTCCTCAACTTCATGCAAGGTATCTGACTGGACAAATGCTTCAAGACTCCAATTATGCCCCAAAAGTGGTAGCCTCTCATCAGGTAGTTCCCTTCGTTGGCGTAGTTCACCTATTACCCCACTGACTCAGTCAGATGGGACCAAGAATCACCAGGAGCTTGACTCTGACAACAGGCTTTGTGACATTCTGGAAGATGATACACCTGACATTTTGAAAGATGCATCTACTCCCATTAAATCGGTTAAAGTAAGTTCCCCTAGTCGCAAGCGAGTTTCACCTCCTCACACTCGTGGGCATGAGCTTAGGTCAAGCTCTTCAGGAGCCTTGAAAAGTGGCCGCAAGTTCATATTAAAGGCAGTGCCATCTTTTCCACCTCTCACCCCTTGTATTGATTCCAAAGGAAGCACCAATCAGAACAAAAGTGATTTTCAGGAAAAGAAGTAATAGCAACAAATGATTGATGCCCCGGCCATGTGAGGTAAGTCAATAAATTTTAACATGCCAACTCATTATACGGTCATATACTAATTGTCTAATGCTAATATTTGTTTATTTCTGGCTACAGCAAACTCTTTCTAGGCGACAGTGGTGTTGGGTTGATCTTGAGCTCAGAAGTTAGAATCTTTAATTGAAGCTATTGTGCCAGGTTTGGATATGAAGACCTCTATTGACTTGGTACAATATTTTATGTGCGATTCCCTATCACAATCATCACGTATTGTTGTGCTGTATAGGTGCTAGAGTAGCCACGTGTTCAAAGGAGCAGGGCACGGTTCAATTATAGATACTTTTACTGCATCACCAGTTGTAATATTGTCTTTCCATAATTCCCTTTATTTTATCTTTGTTTAAATGCCATTATATCTTTGTTGAATTGGATTATATTGTTGTTAATTTCTGTTGCATATTTCATGGTTGGAGGAGACTATTCTGGGATATCCGATTCAACAGGGCAAAATAAATCCACTTACTGAATCATGGTTGAAACAGTCTTCTTGTCCCTTTCATTTTTTTCTTTTGTAGTCAATATTTTGTCTTTTATAATATAATTCAATCTTCTTTGTTTGCCAAGATGTTGGTTATCAGATTTTATCATTTTGTCTTTGATTTTTTTAGCTCTTCACCGCTACAAATGTCAAATGTGTAATAGCGTTGGGGAAATGCTTTTTATCAGTTTTATTTTTCATATTTACTGGTTTCAGCAGTACCAGACTCAATATTAAGGCTTGTGTATGTGTATATCCAGGCAGATTTGATAAAGCAAGGATAGACAGTACGGAATGAGAAATAAATTAAACCCACCCTGAATTACCTTTTATTATCAACTTCAAAATACATCCAATGTTAGGGCACATAACAATACAGTAATAAATTCACCCAAGCAACAAAATTTCCTAAGAACCAAAGCAACTGAGAGTCATCTATCTCCACTCCATCCCAACCCAATTTCTCGGTAGCAAACCAAATACAATCTAACCCATATTTTAAAAGTTTATTTCTTCTCTCATCCCCCTCCCCCCCCTCCCCCCAAGAAAAAGAAAAAAAAAAGAAAAAGATTACATTGGAATAGTAAGTCAAACCATGCCGCTATACCATATACCCAACACCAAACTTGTATTCTAGAGTGCCTTCTCTAATCCTTGTACACAATATGACTACCCTTCTGCCGTATCCCCTCGTTGCTTTGATAAAATTCTTGTCATCATGCTTACAAACCCTCAAGTCCCAACTTGGCCATTAGCCAATTACAGACTTCATCCATCTCTTCAGGGACGGTATAATGACCTAGCCTGCATAACAACGTTAGGGATCATGAGTACTATTTTATATACAGTGTGCACAAACACACACACACACACACACACACACACACATGATGTCGCATTTCAATACCCGTTATATGATCTAAATGTGAGATCCCGAAAGCCAACCGAATTTAAGGTCTGTGCTGATCTCTCTCCATGTCTATATGCAACTACATCATCACCTGCAGGAAGAAGAAAAGTAAACTTTATGCTTAGAGAAAAATATTTCTTAAATACAGAGAAGTGTAAATCAATCAAGCATTATATCAAGTTTTTGTTCAACAATTTGCTTTTTCGAATAGGGTAGGCGAAGAAGAGACAAGACTGATACACATAATTGTTTGAAACAAAAGATGAGCTATGTTACTGGTACTTATGGCCTATGGGTGTATATGATAAATGTGTTAGCATGCATAATAGGTCTGTTTCACTTTTATAATGGCTGCCTATGGGTTGTTTATGTTACTTTAATAATAGATTATTCTATATCCTTTTAATTACAGACAAGCTCAGGCAAGATGCTTGAGCTGCAGAACCATTATATTAATATTTTACAGACACTAAAATAGGCAGTAAAAATTTAACTCTCTAATCTATATCACTTTGACACCTAAAGAGGAGCTGCTCCAAAACTTTTTATAGAGAAGTTAAGACATTCTATTGTTGACCATTCAAAAAATATTTGTAAGATCTACAAACCCATTAACTCAGCATCTTGTTACTCCTCCAAATAAGTCAGAGTCTGACTTTGTCATATCAAAATAGTGATGTGTTTACTGAGAGTAAATTGAACCAGTCTCATTAAAATTTAAGAGATGAAAAGGAATACCTAAACCATGGCAGAGCAAAATAGGCAAGGATGCAGCTCGCCTTGCTGCCTCGTGTGATCTTTCCATTCGACTTTTCAATGTCCTACCAGGAAAAAAGAAAAAAAACAACAGCTGCTGAGCTGAATGAATAGGTAACCAGTTTGAGGACAACTGAGTTCTAGATGAGCTAATATGTGCATGTCTCAGTGCATGTAACAGGTGTCAAACCTTGAACATGGAAGCCAGCCACTTAAACCCACAACTGCACTTAGGTTGACCGAATAGGGATTTCCATTTCCATATTGTCCTAATATGCGGCAAGTGGCAGAATAAAGTGCTGTTGCAGCACCCATACTGAAGCCACCAATTCCAAGTTTGACTGCAATATATCAATATACTCAAGTGAATTATGATATAGTACATATAATATGCTGCATGATTTCAAGGAAACTGTGCAATTTGGACATGATCACAAGAAGCTTACATATTCAGAAGGCTACATGGTTAAATTCAGTTATTACATCATATAATTTTTAATGAATTAAAAAAATTACAATTCAATTTAATTTTACAGTTCTGCTTCTGTAAACTTTAATCTCCTTTCCTTTCCTTCTCTTTTCTTTTTAATCAAAACTTCTCAAATCTAAGTGTTACAATGACTTTATAGATGGAAAGGCAGATGAATTTTCTAGCAAACGAGCTCTTACTCACCAAGAAGTAATACTGGAAATTAAGTTCTGAAAAATCAAAGTGACTTGGTATCAAAGTATTGCCATGACAAATGAACAGGTTCATCAAAAGGACATTAGAAACACAAGATTCCATTAACCATCTCAAAATGAATCTATTCAAACGAAAGTGAGAAGCAAAGAGAAGAGCAAGTAAAGAGAGAGAGAGAGAGAGAGAGAGAGAGAGAGAGAGAGAGAGAGAGATTGCAAAGAAGAAAAATCAGTTTTAGGTCATGAACACTGAAAGATCAAGGGGCACAACCAAATTCATCTTTATAGTAAAATGAAACTGGGAAGAGTTAGAATGATAAAAAGATAAATGACCTTAGCCTTTTCCACTCTTACTTTTTAACAAAAATAAAGTAATGTATCCACCCCGGAGTATTCAGAAACCCTGGAAAATATTTAATTTATTTATACACTTAAGTGAACAAATTTATTAGACTCCTGTGATCCATTGGAACTCATTTTATAAAATATTCATCCATAAAGAACTAAGTATTTATATCTTATGCTATTCTGAAAACTACCAAGGGAAAAACCTACTGTCAGCAGGTTCTGTTGACAAAAGATTAGCCACATGTGCTGCTGAAGCATCTAACCCCTCCAAATCATCAGGAGCATCTTCTGAAAGATCTCCAACATCAAACCCTGTGATAGAAATTATCAAGCTAGTTATACCATATTCATTAATGTCAAAATAACAGAGAAAATACCAATTGTTCGCATAAAATTCATTTTGATGGGATATTGGGGTCATATACGAGAACTTTAATGTGGAACTGGACACAAGTTTGAAGTTTTCAACCATGGATGTTTAGAACACATTGAATTCAGAACCAGTTAAAACAATTAAATCTTACAAGCAGTGCAAGAATATCCACCAAATATCGCTACTGGCCTAGTAGGAGCAGTTGGGCAAATCCACTTAATCTGCAACAATAACATTTCGACAGATAATTACAAAATAAAATCATTGTCAATTGAAAACTCCATCTATGAAAATTAGGGTAACCAGTGATGCATGTTGCATGTGCACACAAATTGAAGAAACTAACTTACATTTGGAAGAGGAAGTGTTTCCAAGAGCTGGGACCAGCTGCAAAAGGAAAAAAAAAAAGGCACAAAAATTCACCTTAGGCCCCATTAGATATCCTTTATGAAAGTTTGACTAGCAATAAGATGCTGAAATATTATGATATCACAATTTAAGGTTTGCTAACGCCCTTCAGGAAGTTTGAAGACATTATAATATAATGTAAGGAGTACCCTGAACCATTTAACTTTGGGACCACATGCAAAGTTGAGTACAGAGCAACAGACCTTAACAACTCTTTGTATAATTCTAACAACCTGAAAATATAAATTACTCATCTAGAATTGGTTTCGCAATATGTTAGAAAAATAAGAATAAATTTCTTGATCATAATATTATATCATTTAAGATTAGTATATATCATTTAAGATTAGTATATTTCTCTTAGCTGAAATGAAAGGACATCAAGCTAGTGAAGCAGTGGTCCCCCATTCTGAGTTTTGTAATATGTACTTTTTGCATTCGAGGCTGTTCCAATATACCTTAGAATCAATATAGAGAGGATGGAGGAAAATGACAACTATTAATGTTATTGTTTAGTACACAGCACTACTGCTCTCTCCCACCAATTCAATCATTGTGAGAATCTTCTAGAAAGGGAAGCAAAATTCAGCGAGTTATGTGAACACCAAATTTCTCCACCAGAAAAGGACAAGACATTGACATTCTTTAAGTCCCTTTTGTTTATTTTGGAACAAAACAAGTCCACCATTCCCACACAAGGAATATGCTTAGTATAAAGAGAAAAGAATCGAACTTCATGAAATGTCATTTGCAAAGCAAGAACACAATGATATAAGATGATTATTAGTAGCTCAAAGTAAATCTTGATATTTTTTTTTTAATCCATGCATAACCATGATTTTTCTTATAAAAGAAAGCATAGTATTTTACTTAATATTTGTGAGTTGTAACAACAGAATTATAAATAAATTTATCTATGACTTCCATTTCCATGAAACAACCAACTTGAAGAATCAGGCTTTCCCAGCTAGAATATCAAATGCAAACCAAAAAACAGAAATAAAAAAAATAAAAAATAAAAAAAAACAATAATGTTAGAGAGGAAAAAACCCATGAAAAACTAGCTCCACTACCTTGATCCCTTATCACCAAGGCCATGCAGCCAAACTATGGTGGCCTGGTGTTTCCCCTTGGGCCTAACCACATGGGTTCTTCCATACTCGAATGTACTTCTAGTAGTTCTACTACCTGAAACGTTGCAATTATACACTTAAAAAGTCATTACAAAGAAGAGCCAGAACCAACAGAGTTAATACTTAAAATGAATCAATAAGTACACAACATATTTACAAAGAACAGCAAGTGAAAGAGGAAAAAAAAGACTAACCAGAACCCATATTGGAGCCACTATAACTCATTATATTCAACCAAAATAAGCACACTACGCAAAGCGCTGGTTGCAATGTTCAGGCTGAGTTCCTGCAATGAAGCAAATAACAATCGACCATCTCTATTTATAAACATATAGGAGGGTGAAAATGGAATAGAACCTATCAAATCACATCGACTATTCTTGCTTACACCAGTTATACACTCCCTGAAACCTTCCAAAGAAACTAGCAAGAAAGTGAAAGGCACCCAAGAAAAGATGAAAGAGAGTAATAAAGAAAGGGACAAAAAACAAAAAAGCAATCACTCTTTATATGCAAAGAATCTACAAACGATCGAAGCACATTAATGCAAAAAAAAAATGAAGTAACACAGTCTATAGGCTGCAATGCATAGAGTGAGAAAGAATCAATGCTTGTGTAAAATGGACAAAATAAAGCACTTCAACTAGAAGAGAATATAACCACAAATTTAAAATTACAAAAAAGAAAAACCAATCTTTGCCATATGTTTGATAGACACCATTTACCCAGAAAAGAATAAGTTAAAATTTGACTTGATGAATGAGTTATATAAGTAGAATGAACTTACAAGATCTGATTAAAAAAAAAAAAAAAAAAAAAAGGAATGGTAATATGAATAAGTAGAGTTACCAAGCTATGTAGACAGAGAAAAAAACCAAACCCAAAAGCATAAGAACTTTTTCACTTTCCTATCTCTTTGTATTGCCTTTCTTTGCTTCCCCACAACTTTCTGCTGCTTGCTTTTCTCCTTGTTTTAGTTTGTTCATACTACTGTCTATTACTGCTACTTTCACAGTGAAACCCCCAAACACATTAATCACACAAAGACAAAACCTTATAAAACCTCCGAATTTTTACTGGTCCTCTTTTTCTTGACCAAAATGTCCTCCAAAAACTTTAAGACCAAAATGAATCAAAAAAATTTCAAATAAATAATTTAACTTTATTTTAAAAGAGTGAGTAATGAGAATTTCCTTTACTAACTATATAAATTTTATAATATAATAAAGTAAAGGGTTGTCGGATTAGGTCATAAATAAAATCACGTAAATTAACCTAAATTAGATGTGTTCTTGGTTAATCGTCTATTTAAAAAAACACACGTGCCCGTTTTTTATGAAGGAATTATTAGATTGATTGGAGAATATTTTTGGGGACCATTAACAATGCAAATCTTTGCTTTAAATTAAATAAATAGGACACAATTAATTAATTAATTAATTAGAAGGAAAGCCCGCCTCATCACATGACAACAACATTCATATTACTATGCAGGAATTTATATAAACCGAAACATGAAAACGAAGAGAAAAATAAAGAAAGCATTTTTTTTTTTTTCCAAATTGGCGTCTAGGATTTTGCTTTTAGGAAAGTTGTAAGAACAAAGTGTTTCTCTTCACATTCACTTAGAATATGATTGCATGGGCCTCTCTATACATTAATTCACATCAAAGGGTCACTAATGGCATGCATCATAGGTTTCTTGAAAAAGGCAACCCTTCTACTTACAACTTTTGCCATTTTAGTATTTCAATTATACTTAATACCTAACTCACAACTTTTTTTTTTTTTTTTTTTTTTCCGGTATTCGAGGCTATCCGAACCAGCTTGTACCACATAGCCCTGAAGTTAACAGTAGGGGTGTTCAGTTCCAGGTACCCTACATTTTTTGAAGGAACCGAAACCGACGGTTTTGGTTTCTAGGTACCCAGAACCGGAACCTGTAACAATGGTTCCGGTTTCGGTTCTGGGTACCCTATAAAATTCAATTACCCCCAAAAGTTTTTAAAATGATAAAAAAAAAAAAAAACCTTAAAAACTTACAAATACCCCCCACCTGGCACTTGTTAACAAAAATTAAATTACAAATTATAAATTCAAAATTACAAACTCTGTTACTTTGTAAAAGTAGATTCTCAAAAGTCAAACCAACTTACTTTAAATGTAATGAAATATAAATATAAATGTATTCACATTACTTTTTCTACAAAAGTTTTTATTAACCCCCCCTACTTTTTAATTTTGTTTTATATTAGTCTCGGTTACCGGTTACCGGTTACCGGTTTCGGTTCCTAATCCTAACTATAGGAACTGGAACAGGAACCGCACAGTAACGGTTCCAAAAATTTAGAACTGGAACCTATCCATTGATGACCGGTTCCGACTAAGAACCGGAACCAAACCCCAGGTACCCGCTGGTTCCGATTCCAATAGGTTCTTTTGAACACCCCTAGTTAATGGCTATGTAAGTCTTCAATAACTACCCCTTATTAATAGTCGTTAGGGTTCGAACTCATGATCTCTTGAGTAATACACCTAAGAATTCCAAATGAACCGTCAAGCTACCTAGAAGTAGTTACTATACTCAATACCCAACTCACTACTTTTCTTTTCCCTTCTTTTTAAAGTATTGGGTTTCATACCATTTTCTATCAATCGATTACCTCAATGTTTTGTATAACCATTACAAATTACTCGAAACCCTAACTCTATTATTTCGACATTAGTATCCAAATGTTGACGAAGTTAGGACAAGTGGGTATTAGTGATACAATTTCTAAAGTAGAAGGGTGCATTAAAAATGGGATTAAAATTCACAAAACTTTAGAGTTGTCAACTCTATAGGCATACCCTACACCAAAAAAAAAAAATGGTGGGTTTGGAATAATCATGGAATGGACCTACAATAGATTTTGGCACTAGCTTTAAGCTTTGTACAAATTAGAATTACATATTAATTAATCAATGATAATTGGTAAAGTGAACATATGCTGATGCCACTATAACTATTCTCTTCAAAAAGTCTTAATATATTTATTACCTANACGAAGTTAGGACAAGTGGGTATTAGTGATACAATTTCTAAAGTAGAAGGGTGCATTAAAAATGGGATTAAAATTCACAAAACTTTAGAGTTGTCAACTCTATAGGCATACCCTACACCAAAAAAAAAAATGGTGGGTTTGGAATAATCATGGAATGGACCTACAATAGATTTTGGCACTAGCTTTAAGCTTTGTACAAATTAGAATTACATATTAATTAATCAATGATAATTGGTAAAGTGAACATATGCTGATGCCACTATAACTATTCTCTTCAAAAAGTCTTAATATATTTATTACCTAAGATTAGACAAAAAGTTCCATTTTATTATTACATTTTTGTCGGGAATTTTTCGAATTTTTCAATGATTTTCGATGTGCTTCTTAAACAAGTTATATATGAAATCGAATCACGTGAAGAGGATCCAAGAATTTCACGTACAATGGAGGCTTAAATTTAAGAATTATAATAATGTTAGTGGAATTTGATTAGCATAAACACTAAACACTAAAAGTGGGGGAGATTAGAGGTGTTATTTTTATATTTTATATTATACTATCAGGGTTTTCATGCTAGTTTACACGTATCTTAACTATTCCTCTAAAATTCTGAAACTGTCGATAAGTAAGAGCCCCGATAACCACCTCTATTAGTGTCTAGATAATTCAAATTCAGGAACTTATAAAATCTCTTTTTATTCTTTTACTACCAGATCACCTTATTAGAGGTGTTGATTGCAAAGCCATCCGGTTAGAACTACAATTACAATGAAATGAAACGAAAGAATGAATTGAGCATTGAATTAGAGAAGAAGAAGACGAAATTGCGTATCAATATTTGATTTGGCCATAGGGCAATAGCCATAGTGAGTGGGTATCTTAAATGTTCCCAATCATCATTTTTTGATTTAATTTTAGTGGAATCAGAATCACCCTATAATCATTCATGGGTAATTAATTTGAATTGATGTTGAAGTTGAAGTTGAAGTTGAGGGTGAGCTCACTATGATAACGAAAGTAATGGCTACTTAAAAATGATCTCATAATTAATTAAATATGAACGGTGAAGAAGCATGCTTCCCAGCTTTTATATACAAGAAAAGATTGATTCTATATAGCTTTATCATCCTCACTTAAAAATCTTTTTTTTTTTTCCTTTTTTGTACATTGATTATACAGAAACCTAATTTTATTCTACCCATCTCATTAACCAATTAATTATTCAGTTTTTTCTTTAATCTTTGAAGCATGAAATATGGGGATTTCCATGCTTCAATTCAATACCCAGCTCATTTTCATGGTGTATTCTTTGTCAATTTGTGATTCTATTAATAATTATTATTATACTTTTAGCTGCTCTTCATTATCATCATCATTTGAGACAATGAATGACACACAACTCCACCTAATTTGTCCTGTAATACATATTTATGGACATGATCATGGCGATTTGAAACCTTACTGGCACTGCCCCCACCACTTATTTTCAGATACATGGCTGGGAATGAATTGAAAGGATCAAGTTTTCAGGGTTTATCCAAATCCAATGTCATTTCTTGTTCTTAAACACAAACCCACCAAGAAAATAAGGAAAACTATTGCACCAGAAAACTTATATAACTTAGTTGCATTTTGCAGCTCAATATAACCTCTTGAACAAAAGTTGTAAGCTAATTGAAATTATGAACCAGTCGTGTATTACTGTATGCATAAATTGTATAAACGTTAGTAACATTTAGCAAGTTCAAATCACCTTAATGGTGGCTTAATCTAACCATTTTGTCTTCCAAGATTGAACTAGTTAACAGTTTGAAAAATTGTTGTTTTCATTAATTAGTTTAAACTGAAATTCTCAACAAGGAGGAGGATCATCAGTCCAACCTTGCTCTATTACCATTGATAAAACATGGAGTTTCCATCACTATATGATTCCAAATTAGCTTCCATCATCTTCTTCATCAACTGACCAGCCCTTTCACGAGCTATAGCTGATCCCCTGATTGAAAGATCGGCCAGCACACTTGAGGATTCCGATAGCCGTAATGCATCTCTCACACAACCCTCACTTTCATCAAACAGGCGAATCAGAATTTCAGCTGCACCCTCCTTACTAAACATGCACCTCCTTTTTAACACATCAAACATTGAACTCACAATCTGGTCTGTTTTTCTCAAAGCATTCAACCCTTCATCAAACCTTGCAAGAAGACCAAGAACGGCAAGCGAAGTTCCAGCTAGATCCTCAGTTTCCGTGTTTCCTATTACTTGGATTAGTATCGTGACAGCTTCTGATCGGACTGCTAGAGTGCAATTCCCATGGAAGTGCACTAGCTCAGCCAAACAACTAAGGAGATGATGGCCAGCAGGACCATTTGGTGCTGAAACTTCCTTCACAAGCAACTGTATGGTACCGGCTACGCCAAACTTTGCCTTGTTCTTGTCTAGCATTGCCAAGCTGCAGATCAGAGAGGAAGCTAATTTGCTGGATTCTGGGGAAGCTGGGGACTCAATTACTGCATTGAGAAGATGAATGGTTTCCATCTCTGCCAGAGAGAGCTTAAGGTCAGGATTCAGGGACAGGTTGAAAAGAATGGACAACGAGAGAGTTTGGATGAAGGTAGAGGATGATTCTGAGAGCTCGAGAAGGGTTGATATTGCTCCATCTGTTTGTGCTAGCAAACTCCTGTTTCGAGGACTGACTTTAGTAATGGAAGCTAGGGTTTGGAGAGCTTTCTGTTGAACTTCGTCGGAATCTGATTGCAGTTCATAGAGACAATCAACAATGGTTTCACGAAGCCGAGGTGCTGACATGACTTGAAAGTTCAAACAGTTGTTCTACAAAGCATAACAATTCTCTATCCTTAAAAATTCTATAAAGGTGTCCAAAATGTTCCAGGTTAAATATTGATCATTCAAGTCTTGACACAGTGTAGATAGTTTCAATGTTCAAAACCATTGGAAAATCCTTCTTGAGCTGAGAAAGCAAATGTTATATCGAAGCGTTGAAGAATCGTTCCAGTACACAAGGAATTTAGGATTTAACGGAAATGGAAAAGAAAATTATTTGTATTTTGTCTGTAGATGGCCGCACTATCCCAAGCATCCCAATGTTAGAAGCAAAATACATTACCAAGAAACAATGTAGGAAAGAAATAATAATAATTATAAAAAATCCCATGGTTTCACTTTCATCACTTGAAGACACAACACTCACCAACAAAGTGCCATAAACAATTATGCAATATATTTGGGACAAGAAAATTCATGAAACAGATTTATTAACATTGGAATTGCTAACAACAATCTTCTATAAGCTCTTATTCATTCACTCATACGATAAAACTATTATACATAAGCATAATGACAAAACTGAACTTAGAAGAAATCAATCACTATCATTTGACTCTTTCATCCATAACGCCTTGGTGTTACTTCGTGAATAAATTAAAACAGCCACATTACTGTCATGTGTAGAAGAAGATAAAAAGAAAGTGCTAAACAGCACATACAGAATATTCAGGGCAAAATAATTTGAAGAAATCAAAATGTAGCCATCTATTATTTCATAATGCATTGAATACGGCTAAAAAGAATCATGTGGTCCATTGGATAACTAGGACATGAATCCAAAACCATTGTTGGACACAGTAAACTCAGTATAAAACCGCCAAGAAAGAAACAGAACAAAAGGTGTTTCGTCTGCAGAGTGTAGCAGACGGTCAGCTCAACAATTAATAAAACTTTTCTCCAAAAGAAACTAGCAAGCCAGATCAATGATGGTCATTGTCTCAATGGCCACCTGGTGGACCTCCAGAGCCGTCCACTTCCAGCTGTAGTTGCAATGTAATAGAAATTAGATAAACTTCACTGAATCAACCAAAGATGTTTGCTTTATAAAATCAATGAAGTGGAGTGAAGGATGAAGGGGTTTCATTAAATGAGAACTTTTAAGGAAGAACACGAAAACTTTAACCTTGAAGTGTTGAGAACACACTGGGCATTCATGAGGCTTGCCTTTCTCCAGCCAAAACCACACAACGTCATGCTCATCCTCTATAGATATCATCCAGAAACATGATTAATTACCAAACCATTAAATGAAAACATAGATTGGTACAGAAAACATAAATTTTCTAAGGGAGGCAAAAGACTCAAAACAACAAACAAAAAATCATGAAAAGAGGAGGGTCTTACCTCCCTCGCCACCAGGACATCCTACTATTCTTTTATCATAAACAGACTTAACAATTGCAGGTGCTTCCTACAATCAGAAGATTAAGAAGCATAAATTTTTGCATCTTCACATAAGCACAATACAAGAGATTACCATTGAAATTGATCAATCAAGATTATATGAAATAAACAAAAGTAAATAAATGATATACATCATTTCGCTCATCATGTGCACAAACTTCACCTTCATCGGTACTGAAAAAACTTAAACGTGTAAATTATTGAAGGCATGCTTCTCAAAGTAATTTCAACTAATGGGAACATTAATTTTCTATTTTTATAAGCAAGTTTATGTTACCATTAATCAGCTGATACATCATTAAATGAGAATCCAAGGTGAAAATAGAATGGATACTGACCTTGGTACCAAAAGGACCAACAGGATGATTGATTTCAAGAACGTTCCTTCCCTGTCATATACCAAATCAAATCACTCCACTCGGTTCTCGAAAAACTAAAATTTATACGAAGTGTAATTGTAACAAATATATATAAATCATAAATAAAACCTGAAGCTCAGCGTCAAGTTCCTCAAGCTCGTGTCCAGTAGCAATGGGCATTATATCTTCAACCTTTTTCCTCAAATTAATATCTACTTTATTAAACACAAAAATCACATATTTTTTTTGTACAATTAAAATTAAAATTATGATTTTGTAGTGTTTGAAAATGAATGATGCTATGGTTACCGGAAGAGGCGGTGAGTTGGTGAGATGAAAAAGTAGGTGTAGCGAGGAACGGCGTGGTGGAAGAATAGGAGGATGTTGATGGAGCAGAGTTGAGAGATCGTCTGAGATTGAGAGTAGAGGATCGCCATAAACTTGTTAGGGTAACGAGCTTAGTTGATCTTCCCCACATCTTGTTCTTGCTTCTGAATTCTGATAATCAACTCTCGCTCTCACCATACCTTTATTCCGTCAGGTTCAGGGATAGTCCCCTCAATTACAAGTGTCAACACTAAGTTAGCCAGACAAAATGACTTTTCTCTCCCCACTTCCGCACCAATCCATTATAATAAATGGATTCTAAACTTTTAACATTATTCTTATGCGATAATGAATTTAAAGATGCAGTAAATAATTAAAATAAAACCAATTTATAATAAGATTTTGTAAACATAATTTGTCTTAAAATATGCAATGCATTCAAACCAAGCTAAGATTTAGTGGAAAATTCAGTAAATTGTCACAAGCCAAAATAGTGAGACAACCTGCCATAACTAATTCTCTCATTTTCTTGTCTCTAAAATAAATAATGTCATTATTCAAATATATATATATTCTTAACAACACACCAAATGTGAAACTAAACCAAACTACATATTCCATCAGCATCAGCTAAAAATTCAACTCTTCAAGCATTATATGCCTAACCGGCATTTAGAAGTCAATAAGACTTCAAAAAGTCACAAGCCACCTCAACACCATGATAAATACTGATTAGCTCGTTGGTATCGACAACTATAAATAAATTCACCGCCCTGAATCTGGAGAACCATCTTCATATGAAACCAGACCCTTCTTCCCATCTGGGCTATCAGATGAAGATCTTGACCTTGCTTTGCTACTTCGCTTTGGCGACTCAGAGTCAAGTGAAGACCGTGATTCTGAGGGACTCCTACTTCGAGATGGTGACCTCCTCCTCTCATTCCGTGGAGACAAACGAGATCTATACACCTCAACTGGGGAACGGCTCTTGATGGGGCTACGGCTATAGCGACGGCTTCGGTAGCGAGGGCTACGTGATACAGATAGACTACGGCTCCGGCTTCTCCTGCCTCTGTATCTGCATATAGGTGTTTAAAATGTCTAAGATATCACCAGAAATAAAACCACCTAGAGAAGAAGTCAGACAAGGACCAAATATCATTCATACGTGTGTATTTTTTCACATTATTAAATAACCTTCCATTTAATCTATTCAATAGTTGAAAGAAGTTGCATGTTGTTTGACTAATTTAAGTGTGTCAAAAATTTAAGTATCCCAACCCTACAGACACCAATATTAACCAGGCATCCAACACACAGCACGACATTAAAATGGCCCTTGAGGCGGCCAAAGGCCATATACGCAAACATGAAAACTTGAACCATTGACATTTGTGTGACTAATGAAAAATAGACAACAACCACAACCAACCCTTAAGAAAATAAGAACCAAAGAGCCTAAAGAAATAACTATCCAAGAACTCTTTTAATAGATGAGCTGAATAAAGAAAAAAGAAGAGTTTTGGACATCTGTATAACCCAAGGCCCAAAGAGATGCTGGAAACAAGGTCCAGTCCAATATGAAAATACCCCAGATGTACACACAGATGCAGAGAGCTTCCCCGAACATAAACAGGCAAGGAAAAGCAAGTAGCCAAAATAATAATAATAATAATAAAACTGCTGTACCATACATGTAAAAAAGAACGGCAAATATAATAAAAGCACATACCTGGGCGGAGTTCTTCCTCTTGGAGGACTTCTAAATCGCCTAGGTGAGAACCTTCTGTAACTTGAATACCTGGGAGAGAAACCATTCAGGCAGCGAAATCAGCACTCACATTAATAGCATCATTAATGAACTAATCATTGAAAAAATTCAGGCCCACACCAACTCCTTGGAAAGAAAGAGATTAAATATTTAAACATAAATTTGCTGGCCACTAACCTGTCGCGGTCACCTCTACCACCATAACGGTAAGACCTGACTGGAGAACGATCAGGTGAAGGGGTTCGATATCGTCGAGCATACGAGTAACGCTGACTGAAACCCCTGCCCCTTCTGATGCGCTTGGGCGACCCATCAGGGGAAACACTCCTGGACAAACTTCTTCGAACAAAAGGAGGAGACCTTGCCCTACGTACAGGACTAGGGCTTCTAGAGTAAGTGCGACGGTTAGTCCTGCTTGGAGCCCTAATGGGGCTTCGACTAATACTTCTCCTAGAAGCAGCCCTGCCCGAGCTTCTGCTTATGCTTCTCCGAGAAGATCGAACAGGGCTTCTGCTAATGCTTCTCCTAGAGGATCGAACTGGGCTTCTGCTAATGCTTCTCCGAGAAGATCGAACAGGGCTTCTGCTAATGCTTCTCCTAGAGGATCGAACTGGGCTTCTGCTAATGCTTCTCCGAGAGGACCGAACTGGGCTTCTGCTAATGCTTCTCCGCAAAGATCGAATTGGACTTCTGCTAATGCTTCTCTGAGAAGACCGAATTAGGCTTCTGCTTAAGCTTCTATGAGAAGATCGAATAGGGCTTCTGCTTATACTTTTCTGAGAAAATCGAACAGGACTTCTGCTCACACTTCTCTGAGAAGATTGAACTGGGCTTCTGCTTATGCTTCTTTTGGTAACTCTTATGGGGCTTTTGCTAATTGATTTTCGCAATAATGTTCTCCGAGGGCTCCTGCTTTGAGTTCTTCGGGACAGGGACCTCACAGGGCTCCTACTCAAGCTTCTTCGAGACTGAGCTCTCACTGGGCTCTCACTGATGCTCCTTTCTTTTCTACTCCTCAATGGGCTCCTACTGCTGCTGCTTCGAGGAGGACTTTTGCTGATACTTCTCCTCTGCTGAGGTGGGCTTCTACTCACACTGGGAGTCCTACCCATACTACGATTAGGACTAATACTACGGCTCCTGCTCAGACTCCTCCTGGGACTAATACTCATACTCTTACTCATGGTCCTCCTAGGACTCATGCTTCGGCTCCTGCTCATCAACTTTAAATAAAATACCAGATCGGGAAGAATCCGTAAACATAAAGAATAACTAAGTCAGAAGTATGGAAAGTAGACCTAGATTTGCCTGGGTGATCATCTACCACATCAGGTTGTCTATCTGTAATTCTGTAAGATTTAGCATCTGCTCCAATGCCATTGCTCCGCTGATCACCATTTTCCTTGGGAGTTTCTTCACCCTCTTTTTCAAACATGTCATCCTCCCTCTTTTTCAGCCGGAAGGAAGCAGCTTCTTTTTCCACAAGCAAAGCAGACTTATTACCAACTGCAGATTAAACAGAACATTGTCAATGAATAAACTTCCATTCAAATGTCAAATGAATGGAGTAATGTATTATTAAAAGCCATGAATGCCTTAATTACAAGACATGGCTTTTAATAATGCATCTACTTTCCAATAAAATGACCAGACAGTGTAAAATTCCAACCCATTAGAAGCCTCTATATGTACGTGTAAGCTTATGTTGCCAAGAATTATTTTACCATTTGTTTAGCAGAAAGTCAAACCAAGGGAAAAAACTAAAACCACAAACATGAGAAAAGAAACATTTGCAAATTTTTTCACTGACTAATAACACTTGGTCAATAAAAAGATATTAACAGCAACCAGCTAACTGAGGAAAGTACCAGCTTTCTGAGTAGGGTCTTTCCGTTTTCGATCTTTAGCTTGAACATCAAGATCATCATCTTCACTGCTAGTATCACTTTTACTATCACTTCCAGTATCTGTAATACTATCCGATGACCTAATAAAAAGAAGAGAGGGGTATTTTAGCATAAATTACAAAGAAATCATCCCAAGTTAGCTCATCCATCATGCAGACTAATTTCCATCAATATTAGCTTATATCTGTTCATAGAACAAGACTACAAGAGGTATCTGATATAAAAATAGCAAGCTATAACAAATAAAGTTAATAGCAAATATCAAGCTACAACATCAAGAAAAATGCATATATATAGTGACAGATCACAACCAAGAAAAATCCCAATCTTAAACCCTCAATGTTTTCCAAGCAAGGCACACTCACAATCAAGAGCATTAAAGAAAAAAAAGATCCTCCTTTTCTCAAAAAAGAAATAATAAATAAAACAAAAAATAACCTTCTTATATGCAAGGATGAGCACACTCCATTCATATACAAAGAAAGCCTTTTGTTATGCATGAACAGGTGTGCTGTTACCTATGATATTCTTTGAAAAACAATATACAACAGAAGGAAAACACAATAGACATGTATCAACCTATAAATATAGGTTACATCTACCAATTGAGGAGCCTCTCAACATATGCCCAGAAAATTTCTAGCCAAATTTTGGTAGGATTGTAATAATTAACAAATGGATAATAACATTCAAGATTTAAAGATATTGTGCACACAACCTTCTTGATCTGTGTTTGGATCTCTTATCACGCCTCTTCCGCTTCTTGTCACGCCGTCTATCTCTTCGTTTTCCACGTCTATTTTTTTCCCGTTTAGAAGATCTCTTTCTTTTTTTACGCCTGTCATCACTTGAAGAACTAATGTCAGATGAGGAGGATAAATATGAATCAGAATCGCTATCAGAATCAGACGATTCCATCTCAGAATCTGAGGAACTCTCTGAATCAGAGGAATAGTATCTTCTCCGCTTCTTCCTCTTGTCTCTAGAAGATTTCTTGTGCTTTCCCTTCCTCCTCACTTCATAATTGTTATCATCCAAGGAAGCATCCTTCGCCATCTTCAGTTTGTTTCCTTTCTTTTTATCTACATTTTGGAACAATCAAATTAATACATCATATTAATAATTGATCTCAAAAAGAAAACAAGACTATCCAACACAGAGGTAGAATAATTACTTACCATCACCAAATTCACCACAATTGATTATCTTCACTGTTACAGTTGGCCTCCCTTCTTCATCACCAGCATTTTCAATTTTTTTCAATACCTCTTTCCCCTGCACAAGCTCCCCAAAGACTACATATTTCCTGTTAATAAATGACAAAGAACCCACACTAATTAAATGAATATTCATTGAAATAATATATAAACAAAAGAAAATGTTAGCCATAAACTAATAGATAAGTTATTTTATAACTAGAAACTGTTAAAAACTTAAATCTGCATAATTAAACTAACATACCTGTCAAGATTATGATTAGCCTTAAAGGTGATGATAAAATGAGATCCCAATGAGTCGCGGTCAGCAACAGACATAGATAAGAGACCAGGTCCATCATGTTTTAGCCTGGGTGACTCATCTGAAATTACATCACAGCTACCACTTGTTACTAAGCAGTAAAATTATTCAAGAGACTTGTTTGTCTAAATCATCTATATAAACACTATAGTAGCATCTCAATAATACTTGGAAAGGGATATTAACAAATTTTAAGAGCATATCAGTTACATCTTTCATAAATTTAAAATGAAATAGTTTGATCAATTTCTACAGCCACGAATAGAAGATTTTAGATGCAGCTGAACTGTAAATGGCTTAAAATTAATAAATTAAAGAATCAAAACTACAGTCATAATGAGAAAATAGATATAAACATAACATGAAATGCCTGATTTAAAGGAATTCTACAACATAATATCTAAGTATGTAGTAGCATCCAAAAGAAGGCAATTTAGAAGCACCTTGCAATGGGGAAAGTCAAACAAACGTTTCACAACCTGCTTGTCATACATAATCAGGAACCACTCAGATAAACTAGTATTCACAAAAAATAAATTACAAATCCTCACATCAATGAGCATAATATAAACGATGCATTATTCTAACAGTACATGGGAAACTCTAAAAATTTTACAATATAAGTAGACATTTTTTTTTTTAAAAAATAAGTAAATTATTTACTCATGAAATTTCCCACTATTCATACATCCTAACTGATGGTGTTAAACTTATAGGGCAGGAAACATCCTCACCTGGAAAATTTCCCTCAAAAATGCTTTCGCCACTAGTCCCTGCAAAATCAAATGAAATTGTTCAGCCAATAAAAAATAAGGTTCAAAAAATAAACCATGGCTGCATTATCCCACATAAATTCTTAATTATGATTACTAAGCTAGTCCATACATTATCTGAAAACCACAAAAGTACTAGTAAAACATCAAGACAGTTCCCAAATAATTATGACAAAGAAAAATCACTTGTAATCAGGACAACATAACCTAGACAGAAGCACAAACTCCCATGATATGATCATGGAGTTAAAAATGTTTGGGGTGCAATTCCCATAACCTGTAAATCCTACACTCTAGTACCCTCAATATATTACTTTACAATGATATCATACCACCAACATATAGTTCAAGTAACAACCCCGAAGTTTGCTCAAATTTCCCTTCTATGTGGTCACTAGTTCATAATAGTTCTATGGTCAATAGTTCATAATAGTCCAAACAAGAACTCAAAATTAGCATAACTCCACAGCCACTATTGATGGTAGTGACCAGAAAAGCAAACATGACTAGCAAGAGGTTTAAAAATCAAAAGGGCTGTATTGTACTCGAGCATGGCAATTTCCAATAAAGACAATACCCAACAGCATTGGGAGAAAATTATTGAAGAAATCAAATTGTATCATCAGAACACCTTTAGTTTAGGCATACCAGAAAGCTGTCACTGTAATAAAAAAATTCAGCTCAAGATATTGGAAACGATAAATCTAACAGATTCATTATTCCACCACATAATACATTGGTCAGCTTTTTAGGCAATAATATATTTAATACTACATTTCCTTTATAGCCCCTAACTTAAGAACTTTTTTATTAGCCTTTTAAGAGTTCAACCTGAGAATTTCCGCTTAATCCAAAATTACAAAACAAAACTATACAAATTACATGTAACATTAATGCCTATTGAATAAACAAAACTAAAGTCTATAAATATACAAAAATGAAGTGTTTATGCAAAGAATACATACCATCTCGTTTTACAAAATCACCACCCTGCAAACGGAAACAAACTATTAGTGCACCAGTAAGCAAAATAAGACAACTGAAGTTGACAAAACTGCATTGGGTGAGGTTAAGCTCAGTAAATTTTGAATATAGACAACTTAGTAAGTACAACCTTAAAACTACATCACAAGAAAAGCAGTCGTGACCATCAGCCCTGTGTCCTACAGCATAAACAATAGTAACTGACTAAAGTAACTGACTGAAAGACAGACCACTTCTAAGCCATGTTCAACAAAAATGAGAAAACACATATTCTGAATCCATTCAAAGGAAAAACAACTAAATGTAAATAAGATAAAACAACAAACCTCAGCCATGGAACCTTTAATGATGCGATGAAAGAAGGACCCTTTATAGTGCAGTGGTTTCCCAGTTTTTAGACCAATTCCTTTTTCCCCTGAAGATGCAATAATAGTTAAACAATATAAATGTCTCAGCAAAACCATAAAATGATTGAAATTAGACCAGATGAATCAAAAGGTAATGCTACAATATCACAACCATGAGCCTACTATAGAAAAACATGTGACAAAAAAAGAAGCTATACACATGTATTACCTGTACAAAGTGCTCGAAAATTTTCTGCAGTCTTAGGAGCAACATCAGCAAACAGCTGTATGATAAAGAGAAACCATGCAATTAATTCAAGCAGAAAATTTGGAAGGGGGAGGGGAGAATGCCAAAAAATCATAAAGATGGTGAGTCCAAGCATAATAATACCTCAAAAACCATTCTTTCAACAGGATCACCATCGATTGAAACATCCATAAAAACCAGAGGATTCTTCTTCTTCGCCATTTATGCTTTCCAATATCAAAAATCAAGCTAGCTTAACAATGATCTATCTGACAAAATTAACAGGAACCCAAATCAAGCCAGTTCATCTGATTACATTCATGGAAAGCATAAAACTAAGTCAACTATACTGAGATACTGGATAAAAGTAACGCCAAAGAGCACCACTTCAGCATTGTGGAGACATCAATTTTATATTTCGGGATAAAAAAAGAAAGCATCTCTAGAGAGAGTTAACCCTCCAGAACTTTGCACTTCACACTCGTACATATTACAGACCGAACTCCAGTTGACAAAAACCAACATTTGTGACCAAAAATATCGATGGCTTAAGTGACAAGAAATATATCTCAGTTAACAAGTCAAGGCATCAAATCAATGCTGGTAGCTAACAACCATCTGGAGTAAAGCTCACAAGAAAATTATTCAGTGCTTGTCATCGGAGAAATCATATGTCCAAATAAACTCCAAAGTAGTAATGGCATTCAGCTAATATGAGAAAGATCAGTAAATCAATTGAGCAACCAGTAAAACCAATCTAGAGTAACCACAGATCTAAACTCCAAGCTTTATAAGCTTATGAACAGAATGAATCGAATAGAAGTCTAAAAAGCAAAAGAATCTGAACTTCCCTCAAGTTAACCAATGACCATCAAACTGATTTCACCCAAACAAAACGAAAAAACGAACGCATTAACAATCGTAGACAGGTCAAATAAACTAGAACAGTAAACCCTAGCAAGATTCCCGCAAAACCCTAATCTAAAACTAAACATGATTTAACAGCGAATAGGCTGAGAAATAGTTAATTACATTAACCACGAATTAGATGTAAACTAAAATCAAGTATATACAAACAAATTCAAGCAATATTAAAAATAATTGAGCAGAATAAAATAAATTTGACTAAGAATCAGATTAATGGTTTGAGAAAACGAGATAAAACAAAATAAAAATAATTGACATATAAAAGTTATTTACTCGTGTTGCAGAAAGAGTAAGCAATAAACCCTAGAATTCACCTGAGAAATGCAGAGCCACATAAAAAATGCAACGATATGACAGAAAGAACAGAAACCTTCCCCCAGCAAAACCTAGTCGCCTTTAAAAGAAGCCTAGCTACTTCTGCTCGCTAAGTGAAATTATCCATCCGTCCTCAAATTTCAAAGCATATTCTCTTAATTACCCTTTCCTTTTCTTAAAATCACGTGCACATCCTCCGTTGGATACTTGTATTCGAACATAAATAATATAATTCATTTTAATTTTAATTATATAATTCATATTAATTTTAATAATATAATTCATTTTACTTTTAATAATATAATCCATTTTATTACTCATTAACATAAAGGTATTATTAGTGAAATTCTTCTTAATATTTTGGATTTAATTATAAAATTTGTCGTAACTCTTTTCTTATTTTTTTTTATATAATTTGGAAAAAAATATGTAGACCAAAATCTTATAGAAAATAAAGATTTCCACACAAGATTGTAATATTGAATGATTTTATTCTCTCTTAGGAGGAATTATGCTCTGAAATGAACATATTTTGATTAGACATTAGTTGTTTTCTTGTCTTCTCAACTTGAAAATACTGCTTTATTCTTGTTCATAAGCATACTACAAGCTACCTTCCACCCTCAGATTTTTCACCTTCACCCCAAATAGCATAAGCTTCTTCCCCATGAATAGCTTCATCACCAATCTCCATGTCTTCATCAGACATTCTCAGAGGTATAAATAGTTTAATTAAATTACAGATTAAGCTTGTACTAATGATGTTAAGAGTGACGATATAGACAATTCCAAGAAGCTGAATTCCAATTTGCCGGAATCCGATATGGATTTTTCCCATATCAAAACCATAGAACAGACCAACATATTCACCATATGAAGCATAGAACAAATAGTTGAGTCTTGGTTTTGCAAAGAGACCACTTAGGATTCCCCCAAGAGCGCCGGCAATGGCATGAGTGTGTAGAACTGCCATTGTGTCATCAACTTTTTGAAGAAGCTCAGATCTCTTATGCACAACCATCATGGTGAACCATGGAATTGAGCCTGAGCATATCCCCATTACAATTGCTGCCCATCCTTGGACAACCCCTACATCAAAGCATGAGCAAAACCTTATTATAAAATTTCTTTCCATGTGATATGATAAAGTTTTATGTAACACACAATTAGATGCATTGTTGACTTACCAGCTGCTGGGGTGATGCAAACTAAACCAGTGATCATGCCTTGAACGGCACCAATGACAGAAGATTTGCCAAAAAATACAAGATCTAGCTTGACCCAAACAAGCAAGCTGGTTGCAGTACATATATGTGTGTTTAAAACTGCCAAGGAAGCATCAGTGCTTACAACGTAAGGGTCTCCTCCATTGAACCCTGTCCAACCCATCCACAGAAGCCCTGCTCCCATTAACATGAGAAGAATATTATTTGGGGGAAATCTTTCCCTGTCCTTGGTTAGACGAGGACCGACCTGTGATGAAAATTAGAGTGTAATATGATCAAATGGATTTTTTAATGCATACTAGTCCTTAATTATTCTAACATACTAATACATATATAAAAATTACTAATCCACGGTGATTCTAAGTCACTTTTTTTGTCCTAAAACAAAACTTCTGCCAAAAAAAGGGGTTAATAGTTCTAGTATTCTAGAGTTGGATTAGCTGCTTATATTGATCCAAGTAAAATGAATTTTATGAAAAAATTTCATACCCAAAATGCAGCTGTGTAACCAGCAACTCCTGCAGACAGGTGAATCACATACCCACCAGAGTAATCTATAAGGCCTTTCTTGAAGAGGAAACCATTAGGACTCCAGATACTAAATGCTCCAATTGTGTAGGAAAAGGTTAGCCACAGTGGCACAAACATCATCCATGCATAGAAGTTCATGCGTCCTAGCACGGCTCCAGCAATCAAAATCAAGGTAATTGCTGCAAAAACAAATTGGAAATACACCATAGTAGCGTTGGGAAACTTTCCAGAAAATGTCTGTTCAAGGAGAAAACCGTTCCCTAATGAAGCATTTGGAACTCCCCAAAATGGAACATACCTTGTCCCAAAAGACATCCTGTAGCCCCAACAAACCCAACAAAGAAGAACACAAGCAAAAGCATAAAGTGCCATGAATGCAGAATTGACAGCCCATTTTTTCTTCACCCCTCCTCCATAAAGGAGAATAAGTCCTGGAACACTTTGCATACCAACCAGTGTAGCAGCTGTGAGTTGCCATGCATTATCACCTTTGTTCATCCAACCAGGGCTTGCCTCATCTGGCGCTAGATTTGAAGGGAAAGGAAAGGGTGCATCAGCCATGTTTAGCTATCCTAATTCTGAATCAAACAACGTGATAATAATTCTCAAGAATAGATTTAAGTTCTACATTGGTGAGCTTATAACCAGGCCTTTGTTGTTTTGATTCTGCCGATAAGCTGTCTCACTGACAGTATCTCTCTTGTCATTGTTTAAATTTTTTTAACTTTTCTATGACATTGTTTGGATTGTATACTTGCTAAGGCTCATCATTACTGATATTTTATTAATATTGGCGGTTACTCCAACCAAATTGAACGGTATTTACAAAGATACATTAGCATCTTGCTGTTGCATATTTACAGCCGCAATTAGCATGGCATATTCCAGGCTGTCTACTAATCGAAGTGGGTCTTGGAATGTCATATGTAACTCTTAGTATGCACACAAATATTAGAAATTAGAGTTCTATCAGTATCTGAGCAATAGTATCTTCCCTTCTTCTTCCTTTTGTCTCCAGAAGATTTCTAGTGTTTTCCCTTCCTCTCAGTACTTCATATTGATTGTCATCCAAGGAAATATCCTTCACCATCATTCAGTATCTGTATTTAGAAACAATCAAATTAATAATTGATACTTAACCTACAGTCTCAGGTTCGATTCTCCGTTAGACACAAAGGTAATGCTTTTCCTTATAATTCACCTGAGGGTTGTGGCGGTGGGTTACTGTGAGATAACTTCCCTTAAGGATTAGTCGAGGTGCTCGTAAACTAGCCCGGACACCTCGATTAAAAAAGAAAAAAGAAAAAAAAGTGCTAGATGAATTTCTAACCTTCACCAAATTCACTGTCACAGTGGGTCTCATCGCCAGCATTTTCGATTTTTTTTCAAAACTTGTTTTTCCTGCACAAGCTCCCCATAAGAGTACGTATTTGATATTTCCTGTTAATAATTTAACATCACTTGACAAAATAGCTTTAAATTTAACACGAAATGCCTGAGTTAAATGAATTTTACAGCCTCATAATATTCAAGTATGTAGTAGCATCCAAAAGAAGGCAATTTAGATGCACCTTGCAATGGGGCAAGTCAAACAAACGCTTCACAACCTGCGTGTCTTACATAATCAGGAACCACTAATATACATCACAAACCGTCACATCAATGAGCATAATATGATGTATTATTCTAACAATATATGGCACTGTTTGATACGATTGATTAGAGTAGAGTTTATGAAAATTTGGATAGGATTTTAGGAATAATATTGGGTAGTTGAATAAGGGAGTATTACGAGGTAAAATTTAAAAATTTGCAAAAAAAAAAAAAACCTTTAGGTTTGCTAATTTAACTAAACACCCCAATATATAAAAATTTTATAAAATGACAAAAACACCCCCACCAACCCACAGTGCCAGATTTCGGAATGGCATTACGACGCAGACCGATTGAATCTAAAGGGTGGGGCGTTGATATGACCGGAAAAGGCAAGATCTATAGCCAAATCTGGTCATCGACGGCCGAAAAAGTTCAAATCTGGCCATCAGCGACGACCAAAGATAAGGTCGTCATTGTCAGTCAACGACGGCCAGATCTGGCCTTTTCCAGCCAGATCGGTGAATTATCGGCCAATTCCGATCATTTGTAGGTCGTTGTGACAGATTCTGGCTACCACCAACGGTGGTTGCTAGAATCTAATAAGTATGGGTGGATGGGGGTGTTTTTATTAATTTTTAAACTTTTTTCTGGGGGTATTTATGAAATTAATAAACTTAAGGGGTCTAAAAGTAGTTAAAATAATATACTAATATTTCTAAAATAACAAAACAAACAATATTTTGGGAATATGATTGGAAATATGGATAAAAATAATGTGCCAAACAGAGCCATCATTTTTATGAAAAGATCATTACTGTAGTTATGTGTGGGAAAAAAATCGTTTTGATTATGACGAGTTCCAATAATGAAATAAATATATTATAGCCAGTGTTTTAACCCAATTCCGATTAGGTTTACGTCTAAATTCACCTTGTAAACTAATCACTCTATTAGTTGGATAATACTACAAGTTAAACTAAATCGAATTTTCAGTCCCAAAGTAGGAATCAGAATCCTATTTACTTTCCGCTTTAGTCAAGATCCAGAATCTTTACTTGAAGTGGTAAATATAAGCAAGTGATAAGACTTTCTTCCTCATTGAGACTCATCTACTAAGTAGGACTTAGAGTTCTACTAGGATTTCAACCTCTTTGGTTTACTATATAAACAGAGGTTAGACCTCTTATTATTCATTCAGAAATCACCCATTCAGAAATCACTCATAAATTATTGCTTCCAAGAATCACTGCCTTTGCTCACAGTGAAGCTTAGTTTCGATTAACTTCATCACCCTACCACCCTCAGCCACTGCAAAACTGTGCTTCGACCAGTTTGTGTTAGTCTAGCCTTAGCCACATTATTATAGTAAACCCTTCCCGCTCTCAACTCTCACTAAATACTAACTTGAGTGTACTGGTGTTCCTTGAGCCTTCACGTTCCTTTATTCTCTCTTAGTGTAGGTCCATCAGATTTTCAGTAACTTGCTTCTCACAAAATCAGTCCCTTCCGAATAAATCATAGATTTTACCATCTACATTTATTTTGTTAAATAAGCTTAGAAAGAGCTTACTAAAGAAGCACAAACTGTAAAGTGATTTATTTTAAATATTATAAATACTTTTTTAAAATTCAACCAAAGTAACATAAAAGAAATTCGAAACTGTGTTGTTGTTTTAGACCATTTCCAATCTATTGCACTAAATTAGTGCAAGTTTCATACCAAATTGGTGTGATTTTTTTGTGTAAAACACTATTGCATCTCTAACCCATTACACCAAAAAGAATATTTCTTAGAATATTCTCTTTCTTTTTATTTTTCTTTTATTGTAATAATCAATGATTAATTTATTTCACTCATTATTTTTGTATATATTAATTAAATATTGGGAATGATATTTTTATTAAATAATAATTACTTTGAAAATTATACTAATTTAATAAAATTAAGCATTTATTTATTCAAATAAAGATTAAATTTAATATATAAAAACATTACATCTAATATAAAATGATACCAAAAAAAACAAAAAAAAGACAACAACAACACAAAAGTAAAATTTCATATTGATAATAATTTAATTTTCTGAATTAGTATATTATTCCCACAAATGATCAATTAGTGTTAATTTTTAGTTTGAGTTATTGTAGGTTAACATTTGTATTGAATAAAGTTTTGTTTTTAATTTTTCATCATATTTTGAATTATATAATTATTATTATAAATAATAATATAAATAATAATCAAACTAACTTAAATACAAATAACAAAAAAACATATATATATTTTTTATACTGTTTGAACGATGTCACGCCAAATTGGTGTGTATAAACAGTGCTACACAAAATTTGGCGTGGTACTATACATGGACACCAAATTGCTGTAAAAATTGGTGCTGGGTTGGAGGCTATTTTCACACCATTTAGCGTTGGGTTGAAGATGGCCTTAGAAAAAGCTGTTATCCTATTACTAGTTTTTTTTTTTTTTTTTTTACTTTATTAAATTTGATCAGAATTCAGATCAGTTTCTTGTCACCGCAGTTATGCATTGCTGGGAAAAGGATTTAAGCATAGCAGTGATATCTCCCTTTCTCAGCCATCACGATATTCATTTAAAGACTCCATTTGACAAATTCCAGATCTGTGTGAAGTTGTATACAAGTTACCAATTTTTGCAGGATTGATGAGTTCAAATAGCTAGCTTATAATGTCTCAACTTTGCTAGTCCTCGTAGTTGAGCCAAGGATCAAAGGGGCTTCACCTGTCAGGAAGCTAGATTTTCAACAAGCTGCCTGTTGTATTGAATTTATATAAGTGTTACACTTGTTAGAGAAGGCCAATGGAAATAGAGAGCCTCGTAATATATCCTCATTTCTACAGGTGCTAACTGCTAAGTGCCAAGAAACAACATTTTTTTTTTGTTTGCCATGGTGAGAAATAGTCGAGTCAATAGTTCCAGTCTCAATGGATTAGTAGAGATATGTGTAAGCTGGATCGGACAATCCGTCGTAAACAAAAAAGAAAAAAAATATCTATACAATGATGTCTGATGATCTACTGTACGTGAAAGAGAAATTTAGAGTTCGAGGTAATTATTTCCATAAAACATTTGCTTGATGGTTAAATTTATGTTTTATTTTCGAGTAATATTACGTTTACACAATTCTTTTACACCATATTCATTACATCATCATATGACATATGTCACAATCATACAGATTTTTAATTCTAATTTATGTGATTGTGACATATACGATGTAATAAAAATGGTGTAAAAAAGTGGCGTAAATGTAACATTACTCTTTATTTTCTGCTGGGTCAAAAGAAAGAAAAGGATTAATCTGGGCTAAATCTGGCCATAGCCCAGCCCATGTCGCCCAAATTCTTCGTTCTCAATTTCAAAGCAGAAGGTTAAATTTCGAAACAAAAGGGTTCAACCAGTAGGGTTTTATCTGCAGCTTGCCTTGCAAATTACCCACCAAACAACAATGAGATTTACACTTACTTCTTCACCAATCCGTCTATTTCTTCTCCGCTCTTTCAAGTATCCTAGGCCTCTATGCTCCCAATCAGCTTGTCTCAACGAATCGATTTCATCAGAATACCCATTTTCGGAGAATCCTGAAAGAAACTTGGAATTTTCCGAGAAAATCACCTCAGACTTCTATTCGCTCCGAAACCCAACTTTCTCAGAATCCGAACACACTCGTTACACCTTACCCACTTTAGAGTCCACAGATTTAACACAAACTAGTGTGATAAACACTCTTTTAAGCTACAAAAACGATCCACTTTCAGCTTTGAGACACTTTAATCTGGTTGAACAGAAGCGAGGTTTTTCCGAAAGCCTCTATTCATTCGGTGTTTTGCTTCACATTCTGATGAAAAGCTCAACGACTCATGGGCAGGCGCGCAATTTGCTCGATCAATACGTTTCGGGCTTTTCCGGACCAACATCGATTGCTCTTGTTGACTACTTGATCGAGTGTGCAAAAAGGTTCGATTTTGATTTAGATTCGAGAGTTTTCAATTACTTGTTGGATAGTTATGTTAAAGCTGGTGAAAAAAATGATGCTTTTGAGTGTTGTTGTAGAATGATGGAGCGTAATATAATTCCTCGGGTTGAACTGGTAAACAAAGTTTTGACCGATTTGGTTAAAAGAAACTTTATTGATGAAGCGAAAGAATTGTACAATAAAATGGTTTTGAGAGGTGTGAGTGGTGATCGAGTAAAAGTTAGCACTTTTTTAAGAGGAGAGAAGAATCAGCAAAACCCTTATTTAGATGATACTTCAAATCATCGTCAAAACCCTAGTGATTTTAACACTGAGAACCACAGCTCTATAGATTCTCAGCACATACCAAACGGGGTTTATGTGGGTGGTTCAAGGAGTTATAGGGAAAGCACTACAACTGATTACCAGAATAATGCATTTCAACAAACTGTTAACTTTAGTGGGTATAATTTGAATAATAATGGACAACCGCAAATAAACCCTAATGGGGCTCAAGCACAAATGTCTTGGGGTGGACATTATAATATGCAGAATCAGTATGGTCCTGTTAGGGAGGGAGGTGGAGAAGCAAGCCAAAAGCTTCACGTTAATGGGAGTGTTATGCAGAATGCTGGGCAATATCAGCAAATCTCAAGTGATCATCATACTGGAAATTTTGGAATTGATCATAATAGCCCAAGTGACAATCTGCAGAACCAAAATGCTGGACAATATCAGCAGAATCCTAATGTAGGACAATGTTTGTCCTACTCAAATGAGATTCATGACAGAATGGTGACTTCTCAAGTGGTAACTAACCCTATATCTGGGGAGGAATCAGCAGAGGCCTCAGAAAGTAGCCAAAATAATGGTACCCTGGAGGAGTTGGATAGTTTCATCGAGGAAGGAAAAGTGAAAGAAGCTGTTGAAGTTTTAGGGTTATTAGAAAAGCAATGTATTCCAGTTGATTTGCCACGATTGGTTCAGCTAATGCAGGCGTGTGGGGAAGCCAAAGTTTTAGAAGAAGCAAAAGCTGAGCATGAACACATTGTAAGAACAATGACCCCACTTAAAGTCAGCAGCTACAATAGGATCTTAAAAATGTATTCAGAATGTGGCTCTATGGATGATGCATTTAATGTATTTAATAATATGGGGCAACGCAATTTGACATCTTGGGACACTATGATAACGGGCCTTGCAAAAAATGGTCTAGGGGAGGATGCAGTTGATCTCTTCTCTCAATTCAAGCAAGCAGGACTGAAACCAGATGGTCAGATGTTTATCAGGATTTTCTCTGCCTGTAGTGTTTTGGGTGATGCTGATGAGGGAATGCTGCATTTTGAATCAATGATCAAGGACTATGGTATTATTCCATCTATGAAGCATTATGTGAGTATAGTTGACATGTTGGGAAGCATAGGGTATTTATATGAAGCCCTGGAGTTTGTTGAAAAAATGCCAATGGAGCCAAGTGTTGATGTTTGGGAGACACTGATGAATCTTTGCAGAATTCATGGGAACTTGGAGCTTGGTGACCGATGTGCTGAGCTTGTTGAACAACTAGATCCTTCCCGTTTGAATGAGAAGTCAAAGGCAGGCCTTGTACAAGCTTCGGATCTTGTAGAAGAGAAAGTAAAGAAGAAAATGGCAAGTCAAAATCCTCTAGAAATTAGGAGCAGGGTCCATGAATATCGAGCAGGAGATAAATCTCATCCGGAGACTGATAGGATATATACTCTTATAAGAGGTTTGAAGTCTCAAATGAAAGAAGTTGGTTACATTCCGGAGACAAAATTTGTGTTACATGACATTGATCAAGAAAGTAAGGAGGAAGCTCTTCTTGCTCATAGTGAGAGACTTGCTCTATCACATGGTCTCCTCAACAGCCCAGCCCGTGCTACCATCCGGATAATAAAGAACCTTCGGGTTTGCGGTGATTGCCATACTGCACTGAAAGTCATCTCGAAAATTGTTGGTAGAGAATTCGTTATACGAGATGCTAAGAGATTCCACCATTTTAAAGATGGATTGTGCTCCTGTCGGGACTATTGGTGACGATAATTTAGTCCAAGGTACTCAGTCTGTCTGACATTTTGAGTCTATTTCTGGTGTTCTCCACTGTGCCATGATTGTCTTTTAAATTTCCTCATTCATTTTTTGTTTGACGCCTTTTTTCTAGAGGTCTATATTTTTCTGACATTATCTTTCTCTGGTCTTTACGTTTACAATTTGATTGAAGTGCAGCCAAAGAAGAAGGGAAAAACATCACTGAAGGAGTAATGCCTTAGATATTTTACCCCCAGGTATCTTATTGTTCACAGGTGAATGATATCTTGTTGGTTAATTGATTGATTTAGAAGGTTGTCAGACTCTGAGTCTAGTATGGCACACTACAGTGCATAAAAAAGATGTCAACTTTATTGTAGATTCAGTAGGAGTGGAGGATATCAGATACAGAGAAAAGGGGGTTGTTTCTAATCCCAGGGCAAAATATGCTGCAGGCCTTAAAGAAAACACCAGAGCTCAGTGATATGGCTTGAACCAAGGGCAGTGTGCACAAACTGCATAGAATTGTTGTGTCAAAAGCTAATGTGAGCATTGTTCTACTTTAGTTACTTCACAACTGGGCTGTCTTGAGTGGAGCGGAAACTTGCTGGCAATCTTTTTTGCTGTCAGTTGCCCTTTTGATGGCTAAAAAGGATGCACCTTTGGTTAAATTGGTAATTATTTGATGTACGGTAAAGTTAGATTAGTTTCTTTCTCAGCTAGAATTCAAAGCAATCCTGATTGGTAAAAATCCCACAAATCAGAATTGTAATTAGAAATGCCAAATCTAATAAGGCTATGATGCTTCTCCTCTTTGTGTTCCCTTTAAAATGAAACAAACTACAGTGTTAACTATATTCTATAGTACTAAATGGGGTTAAATACTTAAATCTCAATAATGATAGACGATTTTGATCTAATTTTTTTTCCATATTGATTGATACACCAAGGGCTTTTGGCAGATCACCAGGGCCTTGAACATATACAGGTTTTATTCCATACTAGGGAAGCATGTTGTAAAGTATAGTAGTGAGCCCTCAATACCTCCAGTTTCTCCTGAATTTATACCACCGTTTCTAAAGTCACCAGATTTGATAGTCATTAGAGGCGAAGACCGAACAATTTTCAGAATTCACTTTTTGGTTTAATGTCAGCTGCCAATACTGTTGAGCATCCAGTTCTTTTGTTATGATTTTGCCACAGCAAAGTTATTAAATTAGGCATTCAGGAATCATGCATTGGCATACTAACTTGGGTTTTTTTGAACATGACAATACATTAAAAATTTATTGGGTGACAATGATAGCATAGAAGAAAAGGTAGCACACACCCAGTAGTCACTAGAAATTGTTTATTAGGATTACTACAAGTAGTCCATTGCCACATTAACCAAAAAAATTAACAAAATAATTTCAGTTATATTGAAATAAACCAAAAATTTTAACTTTGCAGCTGAGAGGGGTCCTATTGCATGCTCAGGAGGATTTGCTAGTTATCCAGCTAGAGTGACTATTAGTTGCCCAGTGAAAGGTGAAGTTGCTGGAAAGCTTGTTCCATTGCCTAAATCACTCGAAGAATTATTCAATATTGGTACCCAAAAATTTTGGTTTCTCGCCCATCAAAATTCTAACCAAAGAAGGAGCCGAAATTGATGATATAGACCTTATCAGAGATGCTGATCATCTAATTCTTGTCGGTGACAATTCAAGAAACCAAATGGCTGAAGAGCCAAGCAGTAACACTCATGGTGGGTCTTAAATTTTTCAAGACGAGTGCCACTAACAAAATCTGAACTTGAGGGAAGTCAGAAGATGGTTTTCTTTCTTCTTTTGCTTCTGTTTACATCGTGTAGATTTTTACCTTATGATTTCATCATATAATTTGGGATCATAATGGAAGTGATCATACAAAGGGATGTAAATGGGAGAATATAGAATATACATAAGTGATAACAATTCCAGAAGTTATTTGACAGTTTTTTACCTTAATGGAGTTTCAACAAGTTGTTCATACAAAGGGGGTTTGGGGACAAAAGACCTGATTTTTTTCCCTTCAAAATATTACTGCAATGTGATGTTAATTCTATTATAGGTCGTTTATCTTTTACTTCTCCAAAAATGTATGCAGAAGCTTGGCAACTACATGGGTTCTGTTTAACTTAAAACATGAGGATGATTTCTTGTTGCTTAGCATTGCAAGTTTGCTTATACCATTACATATTTTTTGCAAAAATTGCTCACTCAAGTAAGTAAACAGCTGTATCTCTTCTTGAATGCTGTTTATTGTCCATAGAATTGGACAGACCCTGGAAATCTAAAAACCTGAGAAATCAAAACATGACAAATAAAGCTAAACATGTAATTTAAGTGTGTCCCGAATTTTTGTTGGAAAATACTTGAAACAAAATGTGAAAACAATAAAAAGAATGGAACAGATGGTTCATTTTTCTCTTGAAAAAAATAATACATGTAGCAGAAACTTTGCCTGAAAATGGAATTATCTATATCCTCCTTGCTCCCATTTCTCTCCATTTCTTAGTCCCTTGAATTGCTAACAAAATATTTTAAAAAATGCATTTAAAATTCTTATCCCTTGTTCTTTCTTGTATTTTAACCGAATCTAAGATATGGTTGATTTTCTTCGATTGACATTATTTTCTCTTCTCTTCATTGTAGATTGATTCACTACAAAAGACATTGGTTTTTATCTGGTTGATTAAATGTTTCTGACCTGATAGCATCTTCTGGATGTACCTGCAGACCTTGAGCCTGGATTAACAAAAAGTTACATTACACAAGAACCTGGAACAAACTTTCTTCTTTAAAACTTCTAAGCTGTAATTGTAAAAGGATGAAGTTTACTGAATATAATTTGACCATGCGTGGAAGAGGATAAAATGCTTTGCCACAAGTGTTATCAGTCTTGAAAAATATGGACTCCCGGAGTTAACAGTGAAGTTTATGAAAAGAGGGCAAACAGGTCTTTTAATTGCTAAGTTGGCCTAATATTATTTCAACTGAAGAAAACGATACCGTTGAAGCAGAGTGTCTGTTATTTACAGTTGAGCCTTAAACCCTACTACCAGGTGAAGATCGAAGAAAACACGAGATCGAATGGAAAAAGATTTGTTGAAAAACGAAGATGAACCATGGAGGGCACTCGAATTCTACAGTGGAATAGGCGGAATGGTATCCCTCTCTAAACCCTAACCCTAACGCTAAAACTAATTTAGCTTCTTAATTCACTCTGTAATTACGTGCGCTGTTGTTAGAGGTATTCGTTAATGAAAGCCGGCGTGAACGCAGAAGTAGTAGAAGCATTTGACATCAACGAAAAATCCAATGATGTTTATCAGCACAATTTTGGTCACCGTCCTTATCAGGTTTAACCACTTGTTTAATTTCGTTTTGAATGTTTTCTATTTTCATTTTGTCTTAATTCTTCTTGTTAATTGTATAGGGTAATATTCAGAGCCTCACTGCAACTGAGCTGGACAGCTATAAGGCACAAGCATGGCTTCTTTCCCCTCCTTGACAACCATACACTCGACAAGGTCAATTTTTTCTCTCCCTCTTCTCTTTTGTGTTACATATATTATATATTATTGATTGGTGAATATTTTTTTCTCAGGACTCCAAAAGCAATCTGGTGATGCTCGAGCATTTTCGTTTCTCAAACTTCTTGAACTTATACCACATATTTCGCAACCTCCTGTTCTGTTATTTATGGAAAATGTTGTTGGATTTGAGGTCTGTCCATGAAAATATCAGCTCATTATACTATAAAAATTGGACTATTAGAATTTTAAGCTAATTTATTTATTTATTACTTTTTTGTTGATTACAGACCTCAGATACTCATACAAAAATGATTGAGATATTGGGCAAGTCTAACTATGTTACGCAGGAGTTTATCTTGAGCCCACTACAGTTTGGTGTGCCTTATTCCAGGCCACGTTATTTTTGTCTGGTAGCCTCCTCCATTTTACTTCGCTTTTTAGCTGTCTATTTTATTTGTCATTATCTTTTTTTTATAATTTTATATATTCATATATAATGTTCTTGTCTATATAATACTGTTTGGTGGAAATCAGTGTTATGAATTTTCATTTGGGTCAATGGTGTTTCTGTTAAGAGTTATGTAGGATATATCCCATCACTGCTATAGTATGAGGTAGTTTTGTGGAGGATGACCACAACTGGCTTTTAAAGCAGATTTTTCATATAGTTCACTTGATGGGTGACTATATATTATTATGATTTTGCAGTTGGCAGATATAAGTAAAGATAGTGATTATTTTGTCTCACATTGTGAAGAAAAGATCTTATGCATTTTAGTGACTTATTTTAATTTACTTTGCAGGCAAAAAGAAAACCTTTCTCCTTTAGGTGCCAACTCTCTAATAACCAACTCCTATGGTCTCCAGGCCCATTGCATGGGCAGGATGATATTACTGTGATCAACAAACATGATCAATCTGAAGAGAGCTGGGATAAGTTGCTCCAATCTTGTGACCCTGTAGAAAGGTTTCTTGAATTCAAAAGCCCAAGCCACCAAATAAATACAGAAACTGATTTCTTGGAAACTAACAACGTTGCTACAGATAGTTTTGGAGCTTCAGAGAAAATTGCTGAAGCAAATGAATATGAGTCTATGGACCAGTATCTTGTTCCACTAAGCTTGATAGAGAGGTGGGGAAGTGCTATGGGTATCCTTATACTACTATGAAATCATATATCTATTATCATAAGTATTCTTCCTTTTAGTCGTAAATTGATTTCTGTATCTCTAGAGAAATCCTCAACAGAGTTTAGATATTGTCTATCCAGACTCAAAACGGTGTTGTTGTTTTACAAAGAGCTATTATCGATATGTCAAAGGTACTGGTTCTCTTTTGGCAACTATCCAGGTAAGATTTAATTTCAAACATGCAGTGATTTACAGAGTTGTCTGCTTAGAGTTGGTTCTAGGTATCAACCTGCTACATACTGGATGATAAATTTGTTTTATTCATATCAAATGTTCCAATATCCGTCAATGTCAGGTTATGTGTTTTGCTGCATGCTTATTTACCCTGCCAAACAGATTTGATTAAATTTAACTCAGGTTTCAAAATAGTAACTCAGTCTGTTTGACTTTTTGGTCAATTTTCTGGTGTTCTGTGGAGTGCCATATTTTCTTTTAAACATTGCTCATATCCATCTTTTGTTTGATGTAGTTTTTCTAGAGGTCTACATTTTCTAACAGTATCTTTTTGTGGTCTTTACATGTACAATTTGATTGATATGCAGCCAAAGAAGAAGGGGAAAACAACTTCTCTGAAGGAGCAATGCCTTAGATATTTTACCCCCAGGGAGGTATGACGAGTTACCTTGTATCTTGTTGTTCACAAGTGTTTGATATTTTGTTTGTTTTAATTTAGAATGTTTTGTCATTTTGATAATTAGGTTGCTAATTTGCACTCTTTCCCGGAGGATTTTCAGTTCCCACAGCACATAAGCCTTAGACAACGGTATGCAATTGTTTCCCGTACATTGTTTCCCCATTGTGACGAGTAAACATAAATCTGCTGCATCATGTTATTACCAGTTTTTTTTTATGTCTTCATTAAATTTGATCAGATCAGTTTCTTATCACTGCAGTTATGCATTGCTGGGAAATGGTTTAAGTATAGCAGTGGTCGCTCCCTTACTCCAGTATCTGTTTGCTCAGCCGTCATGATATTCATTTAAAGACTCTATTTTACAAATGCCAGATGTCTCCATGTGAAGTCGCGCACAAATTACCAGTTTTTGCAGGGTTGATGAGTTGAGATAACTAGCTTATAAGTGTGAAAATTTGATGAGTTCGAATAACTAGCTTAGAAATGTCTCAACTTTGCTAGCCCTTATGGCTGAGCCATGGCCCTTATAGTTAAGCCGGGGTGTGAGAGGCTTGGATCAAGGCGGATTGAGCTGCTATAATGAGCAGGAAGTTGGATTTTCAACAAGCAGTCCAGTTGTTGTATCTAATTTGTAAACGTGCTACACTTCTTAGAAACGGCAGAGAAAATTGTGTTGAGGGAAATATAGAAGGTTCTAATACATCATCATTTCTACAGGTCCTTAAGTGCTAATTAATGTCATTTTATTCTTTAAACATTTCAGAGAACTGGCAGGATAGAATTTGTAACCCATTGACCATCTAACCAATGACTTCGCTGGCAACCGCCATTTGCAATCGCGTTCAGCATATCCTCTACTTACTTTCTAGCTCTGTAAAGTTTTGTATTGTCTAGAAAATTAAAATTTAAGAGGACAATATGGATTTTTGGCTGGAGTTAAACAAATTTTTTTTCATCCAAATAATGACTTAATAACATTTTTTTCACCCATAGACTTTTAAAAAATAACTGTATTATCCAAATTTATATTATGACAGTTAATAGAGAGTAAATTCGGTCTAGACTATTGGAGTTCTTAAAGAGAGGAGGCCGATAAGTCTTTTAGTGGTGGAATGTTATACTTTCGTAGTCGAGATTAATTGAAATTTAACTTAGAAATTATGGCTACGCAAACTCTATTTGCTCGATTATCGGTGATTGACGGGGTTAGCAAGAATAGGGTTTGAGAGGTTTGATAAATGATAATTGAGAAAGAGAATAAGATGATATGGGATCGGAACAATGCCAAAATCAGAAAATATAAGATAATAAAATACTATTCTCAAAAGTGTATACTATTATTTTGATGAGAAACAGTGGTTTACTGTTTCTGACCTTTCTGCTGGGTCAAAAGAAGAGAAATAACGGTGTGTTATTATAGCAAGATCCTCAAGCAAAAGAAATAATTGATTAACCTGGGCCAAATGCGGGCATAGCCCAGCGCCCATGTCGCCGAAGTTCTTCCCTTTTAATTTCAAAACAAAAGGGTTTAACCAGTCGGGGTTTAGTACTTTAGTCTGCAATTCGCCAACTTCCGACGAAATAACTATGAGATCTTCACTTACTTCTTCACCAATCCCTCCATTTATTCTTCGCTCTTTCAAGTACCCTAGGCCTCTATGCTCTCAACCAGAATGTCCCAACAAACCGATTTCATCTGAATCTCCATTTTCCGGGAATCCTGAATCAAACTTGGATTCTCCCGAGAAAATCACCCCAGACACCCTTTCGCTCCAAAACCCAACTTTCTCAGAATCCAAACAGCCTCATTATGCCTCACCCACTTTAGAGACCACAGATTTAACACCAACCGATGTGATTAACACTCTTATAAGCTACAAAAACGACCCAATTTCAGCTTTGGAATATTTCAGTCGGGTGGGACGTTTTGTCAAAAGCCTCGATTCATTCTGTGTTTTGCTTCACATTCTGATGAAAAGCCCAGAGACTGGGCACGCTCGTAAATCGCTCAATCATTTCGTTTCGGGCTTTTCCGGACCACCATCGATCGCTCTGCTTGACCACTTGATCGATTCTGCGGAAAGGTTCGATTTTGATTTAGATTCGAGGCTTTTCAATTACTTGTTGCGTAGTTATGTTGAAGCTGATAAAATAAATGACGCTTTAGAGAGTTGTCGCGAAATGATAGAGCGTAATATAATTCCTCGGGTTAGATCGGTGAACATAGTTTTGAATGAATTGGTTAAAAGAAATTTGATTGATGAAGCGAAAGAATTGTACAATAAGATGGTTTTGAGAGGTGTGATCGGTGATCGAGCAACAGTTAGCATATTGATGTGCGCTTGTTTAAGAGAAGAGAAGCCTGAGCAAGCTGAGAAGTACTTTAGAGAAGCGAAGGCTAGAGGTATAGAACTTGATGCAACGGCATATAGTATCGTTATTAAGGCTTTATGTAAGAAGCTTGATTTGAAAATGGCATGTGAGTTGTTGAAGGAGATGAGAGATATGGATTTGGTTCCTTCGGAGGGTACATATGCAGGTATAATAGGTGCTTGTGTGAAGCAGGGAAATATGATGGAAGCATTAAGGCTTAAGGATGACATGGTGAGTTGTGGCTGGCCGATGAATTTGGTTGTTTTAACAAGTCTGATCAAGGGATATTGCAAGAAAGGCGATTTGAGTAGTGCTTTGAATTTGTTTGACAAGATGATGCAAGATGGCCCTCGTCCGAATAACTTTACATTTTCGGTTTTGATTGATGGGTGTTGTAAGAATAGGAATGTGGAAAAGGCTTACGAGCTTTACACCCAGATGAAACCTATGGGTATTAGGCCTAGTGTATTTAATGTAAATTCATTGTTACGGGCATTTTTAGAAGCTCGATCTCTGGAAGAGGCATCTAAGCTGTTTGATGAGGCAATTGCTTGTGGTATTGCAAATGTTTTTACATACAATAATTTCTTGTCGTGGCTCTCTAAAGAGGGTAAGGTAAGTGAAGCTTGCTGTTTGTGGAAAAAGATGGTGTCTAACGGTGTAGTACCCAATGTGGTTTCTTACAACAACATGATCCTTGCACACTGCAGAGTGGAAAATATGGATACGGCATATAGTATATATTCGGAGATGCTTGAAATGGGTTTAAAACCAAATGTTATCACGTATTCTATTCTGATGGATGGATACTTTAAAAATGGTGATGCTGAACATGCCCTTGGTATGTTTGACAAAATGGTGGCTAAGAAAATTTCTCCAACAGACTACACAATCAACACAATTATCAATGGTTTGTGCAGAGTTGGTCGCTCATCCGAGGCCAGAGACAAATTGTGGAGTTTTGTTGAGGAGGGCTTTGTCCCTATGCGTTTGACTTACAACAGCATCATAGATGGGTTTGTCAAGGAGGGTGATGTCAATTCTGCTCAGGCAGTTTACAGTGAGATGTGTGACAATGGACTTTCCCCTAATGTTGTTACTTACACCAGCTTGATTTGTGGGTTTTGCAAAAACAAGCGTATGGATCTTGCATTGAAAATGCAGAATGAGATGAAGCAAAAAGGTCTTGAACCAGATGTCATTTCTTACAGTGTTCTCATTGATGGATTTGGCAAAACACAAGACATGGAAAGTGCATGTAGACTTTTCTCTGAACTCCTTGAAGTTGGGCTATCTCCTAATACTGCAGTTTACAATAGCATGATTAGTGGCTTCAGGAATATAAGTAACATGGAAGCGGCACTTGATATGCATAAAAAAATGACGAATGAGGGGATTCCCTGTGATTTGCAAGCATACACCACATTGATTGATGGATTGTTAAAAGAGGGTAAATTACTCATTGCATCAGATCTTTACTTAGAGATGCTTTCCAAGGGCATTGTACCGGATTTAATTGCATTTAGTGTTCTGATAAATGGTCTTTGTAGAAAAGGACAGCTAGAGAATGCATGCAAGATTTTGGATGAGATGGACAGAAAGTGTGTAACTCCTAATGTTCTTATTTATAATACATTGATTGCTGGACATTTTAAGGAGGGTAATTTGCAAGAGGCTTTTAGATTGCATAATGAAATGCTTGATAGAGGACTTGTACCTGATGACACTACGTATGATATTCTTGTAAATGGAAAAGTAAGAGGGGAAAAATCTGTTCCTGGAGCTTTAGTGGCCTGAATGAGCAGTTGTTAATTGTTGTTGTAAATTCCTGCCAACTTTTATATCGTCCTTCAAAGCTGAAGGACGTCATGGCCTGCAGGATCTGGTCTAAAACGTTAATGAAAGGACCCTTCCAGAAGGTTGGTCAGACTGAGTCTAGTATGGAACACTACAGTGCAACAAAAAGATGTCAACTTTATTGTAGATTCAGCAGGAGTGGAGGATGGTTATTTCTAATCCCAGGGCAAATTATGCTGCAGGCCTTGAAGAAAACGTTAGAGCTCAGTGATATGGCTGAACCAAGGATAATGTGCACAAACTGCATAGAACTAGCTACTTCTGCTCGCTAAGTGAAATTACCATCCGTCCTCAAATTTCAAAGCAATTCTCTTAATTACCCTTTCCTTTTCTAAATCACGTGCACATCCTCCGTTGATACTTGTATCCGAACTAAAATAATATATTCATTTTAATTTAATTATATAACATATTAATTTTAATAATATAATTCATTTTACTTTTTAATTATAATCCATTTTTATACCATTAACATAAAGGTATTATTAGTGAAATTCTTCTTATATTTTGGATTTAATTATAAAATTTGTCGTAACTCTTTTCTTATTTTTTTTTATATAATTTGGAAAAAAATATGTAGACCAAAATCTTATAGAAAATAAAGATTTCCACACAAGATTGTAATTTGAATGATTTTATTCTCTCTTAGGAGGAATTATGTTCTGAAATTAACATATTTTGATTGACATTAGTTGTTTCATGTCTCTCACCTTGAAAATACTGTTTTTTTTGTTATCTTTAATCATACTACAAGCTACCTTCCACCCTCAGATTTTTCACCTTCACCCAAATAGCATAAGCTTCTTCCCCATGAATAGCTTCATCACAATCTCCATGTCTTCATCAGACATTCTCAGAGGTATAAATAGTTTAATTACAATACAGATTAGCTTGTACTAATTGTTAAGATTGACGATAGACAATTCCAAGAAGCTGAATTCCAATTTGCCGGAATCCGATATGGATTTTTCCCATATCAAAACCATAGAACAGACCTACATATTCACCATATGAAGCATAGAACAAAAGTTGAGTCTTGTTTGCAAAGAGACCACTTAGGATTCCCCCAAGAGCGCCGGCATGGCATGAGTGTGTAGAAACTGCCATTGTGTCATCAACTTTTTGAAGAAGCTCAGATCTCTTATGCCACCATCATGGTGAACCATGGAATTGAGCCTGAGCATATCCCCATCATAATTGCTGCCCATCCTTGGACAACCCCACATCAAGCATGAGCAAAACCTTATTATAAAATTTCTTTCCATGTGATATGATCCAAGTTTTATATAACACACAATTAGATGCATTGTTGACTTACCGCTGCTGGGGTGATGCAAACTAAACCCAGTGATCATGCCTTGAACGGCACCAATGACAGAAGATTTGCCAAAAAATACAAGATCTAGCTTGACCCAAACAAGCAAGCTGGTTGCAGTACATATATGTGTGTTTAAAACTGCCAATGAAGCTCTGTGCTTACAACGTAAGGGTCTCCTCCATTGAACCCTGTCCAACCCATCCACAGAAGCCCTGCTCCCATTAACATGAGAAAATTATTTTGGGGAAATCTTTCCCTGTCCTTGGTTAGACGAGGACCGACCTGTGATGAAAATTAGAGTGTAATATGATCAAATGGATTTTGTAATGCATACTAGTCCTTAAATTATTCTAACATCTAATACATATATAAAAATTACTAATCCATGGTGATTCTAAGTCACTTTTTTTGTCCTAAAACAACATTCTGCCAAAAAAAGGGTTAATAGTTCTAGTATTCTAGAGTTGGATTAGCTGCTAATATTGATCCAAGTAAATGAATTTTATGAGAAAAATTTCATACCCAAAATGCAGCTTGTAACCAGCAACTCCTGCAGACAGGTGAATCACATACCCACCAGTAATCTATAAGGCCTTTCTTGAAGAGGAAACCATTAGGACTCCAGATACTAAATGCTCCAATTGTGTAGGAAAGGTTAGCCACAGTGGCACAAACATCATCCATGCATAGAAGTTCAGCGTCCTAGCACGGCTCCAGCAATCAAAATCAAGGTAATTGCTGCAAAACGATTGGAAATACACCATAGTAGCGTTGGGAAACTTTCCAGAAAATGTCTGTTCAAGGAGAAAACCGTTCCCTAATGAAGCATTTGGAACTCCCCAAAAGGGAACATACCTTGTCCCAAAAACATCCTGTAGCCCCACAAACCCAACAAAGAAGACACAACAAAAGCATAAAGTGCCATGAATGCAGAATTGACAGCCCATTTTTTCTTCACCCTCCTCCATAAAGGAGAATAGTCCTGGAACACTTCATACAACCAGTGTAGCAGCGTGAGTTGCCATGCATTATCACCTTTGTTCATCCAACCAGGGCTTGCCTCATCTGGCGCTAGATTTAAGGGAAGAAAGGGTGCATCAGCCATGTTAGCTATCCTAATTCTGAATCAAACAACGTGATAATAATTCTCAAGAATAGATTTAAGTTCTACATTGGTGAGCTTATAACCAGGCCTTTGTTGTTTGATTCTGCCGATAAGCTGTCTCACTGACAGTATCTCTTGTCATTGTTTATTTTTTTAACTTTTCTAGACATTGTTTGGATTGTATACTTGCTAAGGCTCATCATTACTGATATTTTATTAATATTGGCGGTTACTCAACCAAATTGAACGGTATTTACAAAGATACATTAGCATCTTGCTGTTGCATATTACAGCGCGCAATTAGCATGGCATATTCCAGGCTGTACTAACGAAGTGGGTCTTGGAATGTCATATGTAACTCTTAGTAGCACACAAATATTAGAAATTAGAGTTCTATCAGTATCTGAGCAATAGTACTTCCTTCTTCTTCCTTTTGTCTCCAGAAGATTTCTAGTGTTTTCCTTCCTCCTCAGTACTCATATTGATGTCATCCAAGGAAATATCCTTCACCATCATTCGTATCTGTATTTAGAAACAATCATTAATAATTGATACTCAACCTACAGTCTCAGGTTCGATTCTCCGTTAGACACACAAGGTAATACTTTTGCTCATAATTCACTTGAGGGTCGTGGCGGTGGGTTGCTGTGAGATAGCTTCCCTTAAGGATTAGTCAAGGTGCTCGTAAGCTAGCCCGGACACCTTGATTAAATAGGAAAAAGGAAAAAAAGTGTTATGAATTTCTAACCTTCACCAAATTCACTGTCACAGTTGGCCTCCCTTCTTCATCGCCAGCATTTTCATTTTTTTAAAACCTGTTTTTTCCTGCACAAGCTCCCCATAAGAGTACATATTTCCTGTTAATAATTTAACATCACTGACAAAATAGCTTTAAATTTAACACGAAATGCCTGAGTTAAATGAATTTACAGCCTCATAATATTCAAGTATGTAGTAGCATCCAAAAGAAGAATTTAGATGCGCCTTGCAACGGGCAAGTCCAACAATGTTTCACAACCTGCGTTCTTACATAACGAAAATGATAGAGCCACCGAAGGTTGCGTACCGAATCTGTGCACCGAATGACGTTGCAAAATCTTGACCTTATTATAATATTAACTGATAATGAATCAACGGTCAGGATTTTGCCACGTTATTCGGTGCACAGATTCGTGGCGCAACCTTCGGTGGCTATAGCATTACTCCTTACATAATCAGGAACCACTAATATACATCACAAATCGTCACATCAATGAGCGTAATATATGATGTATATTCTAACAATATATGGAACTGTTTGATCACGATTGATCGGAGTAGAGTTTATGAAAACATCATTTTTGTGAAAAGATTATTACTGTAGTATTGTGTGGAAAAAAAAAATCGTTTTGATTCTGTCGAGTTCCAATAATAAAATAAATATATTACGGCCAGTGTTTTAACCCAATTCTGATAAGATCTACGCTTAAATTCACCCTTGTGAACTGACCACTCTATTAGTTGAGTAATACTACAGTTAAGTTAAATCGGATTTCAATCCCAAAATATGATCAATTCTATTACTTTTCACTTTAGTCAAGATCCAAAATCTTACTTGAAGTGGTAAATATAGACAAGTGACAAGACTTTCTTCCTCATTGAGACTCATCTACTAAGTAGGACTTAGAGTTCTATTAGGATTCCAACCTCTTTGGTTCACTATATAACAAAGGTTAAATTTCTTATTATTCATTCAGAAATCACTTAGCTTTAGCTTTTAATTATTGCTTTCAAGAATCATAGCCTTTGCTCATAGTGAAGCTTAGTTCCAATTACTATCACTCACCCTAACCACCCTTAGCCGCCGCAAAATTGTGCTTCGACCACTTTTGTTAGTCTAGCCTTGTCTAGCCCTAGTCACATTGTTTTAGTAACCCTTCCCGCTCCACCCTCACTAATATTACTTGATTGCACGGTATTCCTCGAGCCTTCACATCTTTATTCTCTCTGTGTAGGTCCATGATTGTCAGCGACTTGCTTCTCACAAAATCCGTCACTTCCGAATAAATCATAATTTTACCGTCTAGCTTAAAAAGAGCTTACTAAAGAAGCACAAATTGTAAAATGATTTATTTTAAATATTATAAATACTTTTTAAAATACAACCAAAATAATGAAAAAAAAAAGTTCGAACTGTGTTGTTGTTTTAGACCATCTCCAACCTGTTGAACCAAATTAGTGATTTTTTGTGTAAAACACTATGCATCTCCAATCCATTGCACAAAAAGAATATTCTCTTTCTTTTTCTTTTGTTGTAATAATTACAATTAATCTATTTTACTCTTATTTTTGTATATATTAATTAAATATGGGAATGATATTTTTATTAAATAACAATTACTTTGAAAATTATACTAATTTAATAAAATTAAATATTTATTTATTCCAATAAAGATTACATTTAATATAGAAAAACATTACATGTAATATAAAGATACCAAAAAGTAAAAAAAAAAAAAAAGACAACAACAACATAAAAGTAAATTCCATATTGACAGTAATTTATTTTTTGAATTAGTATATTCTTCCCACAAAT